GCCTTCGGCAGCCAATTAATAATAGAATAAAACAAAGGCATTTGCACATTAGTACATAGTTTCCTGTATTGGTAGCTTAAATTTGTTTTATAAAAGACAAATCAAGTATATAGCATACCTTCCAATTTTCATAGGTTTGCTTGGATCTATGCCAAGATGGTGTTGAATGACACTGAGAACGTTTTTAAGACAAGTTTGAACCAAGGTGTTAAATACTATGAAGAGAACAACATAATGCAATTACGTAGAAAATCACATATGCTGCAGGCCAACTGAATAAAAAAAACATGAATTAAAGTGTCATGATATTGTTATAGGGAACACACACCATCACTTCCTTCAACTCTATATTTGGGTGTCCTCTCTTCTTCTGATTCCTCGCTTGTGACTAGTGTATCTTGAACGGCACAGTCAAATGCTTGAACAGTCTGTTTTAATGATGCCAAGGACTTTTTCTACAAGAAATAGTCAGTGGTTGATTGTTTGGGCTTTAATATGAGCAGACAGATTTTCTCACCATAGATGACTCACAAGTTGCAGCCTACAAACCTGTAAACCTTTAGACCATGTTTTTATCATGGCCGTGGTAACTAGTTTTCCTTTCTTCTTGGCTGTTATCTCTTCTTCCGTATGAAGATCATCGCCATCACTATCATCATCTTCATTTCTTAACATGCCAGTTGTTTCTTCCTAAATATATGGAAACCATTACATGTTATTGACCATCGCTTCCATCTAAGGATGTAGTTTCAGATAAAAATATTGTCTGCTCTCTTGTGAAGTGATACCTCATCATCTTTCGATTGTTGAGTGTCTTGAATTTCTTCATTATCACTACCATCTGTTTGTAATTCATCGTCTGTTTCTGAATCATTAAACTCCAGCAGTTCTTCATCATTTTCTTGAAGAAACTTGTAAAATTCTGGATCTTTTTCCTTTAGTCTTGACAACTGATCTTTGTGTGCCTGGGTTTTGGACTTGCTGGTTTCACTAAAAAACAAATTACGTTCTATACTGTCAACAGGATGATCAAATTTTGGACACAGGACAGCGCTGCTCAAGCCTAATGTGTGATGCATGTTATTTAAGGGGTAACCCATTGATGCACAGACTCTCTGTGACTCTCTCGATTACATTGCAGCTTAATGGGTTAATGTAAAATTGTGTAATGTTCAAACAGGGTGTATTATGGCTTGTATTATAACTACCTGTTTTCAAGTTGTGATTCAGGTTTTTTCATATCTTCATCATTCACAGCATCTTCCTCATCCCCTGTCGAAACGTCCGAGTCAAAACCACAAGTCATAAATTCATCAATGTCCATCTCGCTTATTTTCCTGACAGAATAAAAAGGAAGTGGATACCTCATTACAACTGAACTAAACGCAATGTAGTCCACATTCTAAGCAAGTGATGGCAGTAGGGTGGCATGTGAGCTGCCTGGCCATGTAGCTTGGCAAGGTTCAAGTCCCAGTCTGGACATTCTCATCCATATCACATCTGACAATTTTTTTCTTTGCATTCATACACCTTTTTAAGTAAATTATCATTTCCAATTTATGTGTAGAAGAGAAACTGTGCGTTCAATTAATATATTTGGCTGTGTGTAGCAGAAACATAAAAAAATTTAGAGCATAATGCCCATGAACTGATGAACATTGAAATCTATACACGCAACAAGCAGTATTATGGCCAAAAATAAGGGCATCGAACTACCTTTTTTGACCTTTTGATTTCTTGCCTTTGCTTTCGGGCATCTTGAATAAGTTCTAGTTCTTTTTAAAACAATACAATTTCGTTTATATTTACTGATTCTGTATCTCACTGCTTTTTCAACTTTAAAAATTTTCTGCCATATTTAATATACACGTGCGAGCCGCGCATTTTTAAAATTCAGAAACCTGGTAACCACAACGTGAATGTGTTGCAATTTTCAAATTTTAATTGCAACAGTGAGGGAGGTCAAAATCGAGCTTTCATAGTAAAAATTTGCTTGAAAATCAGGAAAAAGCTCAAATTCTAACACAAATTCGCAAAACAGCTGCAAAAATGAGCAAGAACAAACACAATTGATTACTCAAACAAATGAGGATTAATTGCGCGGCGTGAGCCAATCAGAATGCGCGATTTAGCGTTCTCTCCAGTATAGTAACAAAAATACAAAATATGGCGACGGTTATACGAAGGAATACCAAAAAAGTTTAGGTCTAAAACATCGCTTTATGTGCTCGGATTGAAGTAAAATGGACGTCGCAGGCCAGACCGACAAGGCTCTGCTATATGACAGTGATAATGATGATTTGGGAAGTTTGAACAGCGAGGAGATCAACCCGTCTCGATTGCTAAGCGACCTCCAAGGAGTGTATCGTGATCATATGATGCAGATTGAAAATGCTGACGAGGAACGCGATGAAACATATAGAGTAAATGCTTTTATAAATTTGAAATGTTTGCATTCTTGTGCATGGAAAATTGTTTTGTTTTATCGAGTTGTTAATATCTTTGATATTGAGGCATTGAGCATTTAAAATGAAAGTAAATAAATAAACACATGATATATATTTGTACTGTCACTGCATCTGAAAATCGTATATTTTAACCGTGCCCAAGTAATTGAATACATATGTTATAAAATACTATGTTGCGAAAAACATCCCTTCAAATATGTACGCACCAATTACTCGGATACAGTTATGAGTATGTTAAAAAGTATACCATTTGATTGATCGATATCCAATGCAGTAAAGCCTTCTAAGGCCCATTTACACTATACTCAGTTTTGGTACCTGTACCGTTTTTATCCGTGTTCGGATTATCTATTGACAAAGGCCGAGCGTGGATAAATTTGGCACAGTACCAATTTTATCAGTGCCATACCATAAAATTGAGAGTAGTGTACTCAGTAGTCTGATGTGATCTGAACTAAATGAGAAATGATATAAGGGTCCATAAATAGATTTCATCCACTGATCACTGACTTATTCTGTGGTTGCTTTCACTCCATCCATACCCCACTGCAGACTAGTCCATGATTTTTTGAAGCAGTACTCTGTAAGATGTAAAGTCTGCAGTTGTCTTAGTTATTGTCTAATCAGAGGTTCATTGCTATTTCCCTCTCCACATTTCAGAACAAGTCTGTAACTGCTGGATGAAATTTTTTTTTCTCATTCTTTTCCACTAGAATCAGCTCCATTCCCTACAAGAGTATGTGAATGATTTGAGTTCAAAAAATGACATACTCCTGGAAACTGTTGAAGAACTGGAACGTGAAGCAAATGAGAGAGTAACGTTGGTAGAAGCAAGACTTCACACAACTTTAGAGGTACCGTAATCAGGCTCTTTGGTAGTTATGTATTTGGTATAGGATGCCATCCTCCCTCCAAGAAAACCCCACTCTGTGATCATCTGCAGATTCAATGGAAGAGCAATCTCGTTCCCAGGCTCTTACCTCTTGTGGAGAAAAGACTCTCATGTGATCTGCTAAAATCTAGCAGATTTCTAATTATTAATAATTAACTACCTTGGATTAAAATCAAATCAAAGCAAACTTGAAAAAAAAATGGGAACAAGGTTGATGGAAGAGGTGTACACCCTGATCCATGCGGGACTGCTGAGAGATTGTGTCCCGGGGCAAAGTACCACCTCTCTTAGGCTTGGTCAAAAATTTCATTGCTTTCTATGCAGGATTGCTCACAAAAAAGTCAAGAACTCGAAGATGAAAATAAAAAGTTGACAGATCATATTGTGAACATTGAACATGATTTGAAGGTGAAGGTAACATTTTGGTTATAACATAGTAGACCTTCTTCCCTTTGAAACATTTTGCTGTAAAATTAAAATATAATCATTCCACTATTTCTTAGAATGAAAAAGAGAGTCAAGAGTACATCAAACATGAATCTGATGAAGTCCACCAACAAAATGATGATTTGGAACATGATGTGGAAATTCTTGTTAATCTTGTTGGAAATGTTATGGCTGGTCGCAAAATTGAGGTTTTGATCTTTTAGATTTTTGTTATTTATATAGTCATCTAGTCATCTTGTTTACATAGTATAACTGCGTTGTTTATAATTATTTATCCTTGCTTTCTTGCAGCTTGATGACCTTGGACTAAGAGTTGTTCCTGCTGGAAAGTTTTTTGACATTCATGCAAAAACATCAAAAGAAATGTAAGATTTGCCATTTTGGTGTTTGAATCAGTTACGGGAGTATTACTGATATTTCACTTTGGAAAAAAATAGCTTGAACTGTGCTGTTTTCTCTACTAGACACGATGGGGAAGCAAGATTCAATGATGAAATTTCTGAACTGAAGAAAGAACTTGCAGAGCGCGATGAAACCATTAGCAAACTTGAGAAAACAATTTCTGCATGTGAGGAGGTATAAAGTAAAACAGTCATTCAAAAAACGTAACTATTCAAGCTGGTGACTTCAATAATTCCTTCGCTTATTTCTTGTAGAAATATCAAAAGCAACTCCACGAAACATCCATTCACGAAGGGAGGGTTGATTCTCTCAAGAACGACGCGAAATCTTACGAAAAGCACTCGGGGGAATGTTGTGGTGCGCAGACCAGCAAAGATGTTGTGATACGTAAACTCCGTGACGACCTTGAGCTCAGTGAAAAACAACGAAAGAAACTTCTGTCTAGTTTGGAAGAATCTGAAAACTTTATAGCTCGCTTGCAGGGTGAAATGGGACGCTTGGAAAATGATAATTATATTTCGAGTTCGGATGCAAACAGCAAAACGCTGGCAATCAAAACTTGGGAAAGTAATTTCAGAGAGAGTAAATTGGAGGTACGGTTATTAAAGTAACTAAAGTATTGATCCAATCGTTAATCCGTTGGCACCATCGTCAGAGCATGCACCTTTACCTCTGAAGTTGTGGGTTCGATTCTCGCTGTGGACTCATGATACCTATGTGAAAAGAGTCAGCCAACGCTCTACCGAAAGTCGTGGGTCTTGTCCGGGTACTTCAGTTTCCTCCCACAGTGAATGTTGACAGGGTGGGTTGGGATTAGCCCCCTAACTGATACATCCACCGTAGCTGTGTTCTGCGATCAGACATTAGTTTAGAGGTTGCAGTCAGAGGCGCCCTTAAGGCTGATTTCCACTGTTGCGTTTTTCGTACGCACGTACACGCACGTAAAACTTTGAATCCTTCTATTTTTTAAATATTTTACAAATAAGTTAACAATTAATGCATGCTAAAACTTGCGGAACACTAAATTCTGTTGCTTTATTTATTTGGTCATTTCATAAGTAACATTTAAACGGATTTAAAGTTTTACGTGCGTGTACGTGCGTACGAAAAACGCAACAGTGGAAATCAGCCTTTAGAAAGCTTTCGACTCGATCAGGTTGGGCTGCGTCCTTCGTAATTCAGCTTAGCTCTACAAGCTGAAGTAAAGATAATTAGCACACCTCACTTGGCTAGTTTGGATGGTATACCTTGGCTTCACTAAGCATTACTGTTCAACAGATGGTCAGGTCAATCTTTTCATGATAATGTAATCTTGTATTTGGAGGCAAATAAATAGAAGTGAGAAAAGTACTTTAATGTGTTTCTATATGACGTTGACCACCATCTGCTGGCGTGTAATCCAAACTGAAACCCATATGTTTTTGTATTGATAAACCCTCAGGTGGCTCGTCTGAACGAGAAGGTAAACGATCTTGAAAACAAACTGAAACAAAAAGAGCACGAACTCGAGATGGTGACGTCACAGGTCGGTGAAGACGTTGCCGCCAAGACGAGATCTTTGGAAGAAGAGTTGAAGAAATGTGAGGAACAAAGACGGAAGACTGAGGACGAGCTTGTGAAAGTTCAACGAGATCGAAGTACCGCTCATTATGAAGTGAAACAGGATCATGATGAGCTGAATAAACAGGTGCAGAATGCTGTAACGTAGAATATAATACTCAGTCAGTGGCGTATAGATGTTCGTGCATGTGTGTTTCATCTCTGTGACCGAGATTCAATCCTGCAACATATGGAGTTGTTTGATTATAATTTTATCTCAGAGTGCAGTTTCCTCCTGTAGTAACACTGAACCAATAAAGGTATTGCTCTCACTGGACCTCTAGGAACAGCCGTTCAGAGCTGATACAACTTTCCATTCATGCATTCATTCATTAATGCACCCTATAGTTAAGTGAGTACGAGGAAACAGTTCGAAGTCTCGAGGAAGAATTGGAAAGTCTCAGAGAGAAGTACAGCGAGGCTACAAATGAGGTAAATCAATCAACACGCTGATTTTGTTGAGTTCAATGTACACAACTAGAATCTAGTTGTTTCAAAAATACACCCAGTTTGATAAGAAGGCGAGATGTAAACGTGATACATTTTTTTTTCATAATTCTTTAGATTCACGAAAAAGAGAAGGCTCTTCGCAACATTCAACAAAAACAAATGCAGGCATCCTATGAGGTAATACAGGATTAGGAAAAACTTCAATATGTTGTTGACAATATATATTTACTTTATTCAAAAATATTGAAACAAATCATTCCTTTTTCACAACAGATAGAACAAGAGAAAGCTTATCTCGACAAAATTAAGGAGGAATTTCAACATGAAAAAGAAATGAGGGAAAATGCAGAGAGAAAGGTTTGCAAACCTTGCACTGCTTGCTGACTCGTACGTTCAACTTTTGTAAAATTTACATTGACTTTTTAGCTTGATGAATTGGAAGAACTTCCTCAGCGTTTATTGGCTGTACAACAAGATAAAGAATCTATGATGAACAAGGTATAGTGTAGCTCTTGATGGATTTGAATTAAACGAATGTACTAATACTGCTCTCTACTAAACTGTGTTTTTTATTAAGATTGACGAACAAGCAACTGCCTTGACTGCGCTTGAACGAAAATTGAATGAGACTAGAGTAGCAAATCTCCAGTATTCTGATAAGGTAAAAACCATATCCCCGACATTTCCTTTGGGTGGGGGGAGGGGGCGCCACTAGCTTGATTAATGAAAGCATGCTTTATTTTGTGGAGGCAGCCAAAAATATTTCACGTTATCGGTCAGTGTCTCCAGTCACAGATAACTCCACTTTCTCCATGACATCATTATACAGTTGGTCTGTAACTTCAGCATTCACAATTCAACTACAATTTGAACTTGGAGTTTGCCCCTTGAAGGCAATTAAAGATAATTATCGTTATATTTTTTTTGTTTTAGTTCGCTGAAAGTAATGATACGATCCAGAAACTTCATTTTCAATTAAATACGATCAAAAACGAGAAGGAAAGCAAAGCGAATGAGGTAAAGCAGAAGCAATGATACACGCCACACGATAGACCAGTCTTCATAATTATTACTAGGTTTAACAATTTTGACCTTTTATATTTTAATTTAGATAAAAGTTTTGCGAGAACGTCTGGAAAATGATCTAAAAATTGAGAAAGAACGTCGACTAAGAATCGAAGAGAAGGTAACTGCTTACGAAATATCGTCAAACTGTTTTAGTGCAATATTTAGAAATTTAAACTATTTTAATCTTTACTGTATGACAGCGTCGTATTACGGAAGCCGAAGGTCGTAGAATGTTGTTGGCCTCTGAAGAAATAAAATCGAGCTTGTCCCATAAGGTTGAAACGAGGAATAAATCCATTGTTGAATTAGAAAATATTGTTAACGAACTACGAATGAAGAATATACAGCAGAACAATAAGGTATGTTGCTCTTCAATATGTGTATTAAGATTTTGCTCGAAAATAAGATTTTGCAGGAAAAATCCTCAACATTATGTGATGATGCCCAAAATTTACAACAGAGACTTAGTTTAAAAACAAATTTAATTATTTGAATGTGCAAGTAGTTACATAACTACTCAATGCAGTTAACTCCAGGTATTGTATCTTATTATAGGTTCAAGAGTGTGAAGATGCTCTTCAAGACATTGAATATAAAATGAAATCTCTGGAGAGTGAAAAGAATTCCAAAATTACTGAGGTAAGAAAATCGTCTAAACTGATTGTCTTGGACAGCGTTGAAATCCGGCGCCTGACAGCCGGACTAAACAAGACCGCAGCCTAATCTACAAGCCTATTATAGTCACGACCCGAACGCAACTTATCCGCGATCTAACGTGCGAACTGCCACTGAACCGCGACTGAACCGCGTGCATACCGTGGCTACAACCTCGTTTTTTAAGTGATACTGAATGTACTTAACGTTCTGCGTATTTCTTTGTAGTTGGAAAGAGAAATTGCCATCCTTGAAGAAGACAAGAACATTATCACTGAACAAAAGGAACGGGCAATTGAACAAGTAAGGGGCGGACCATTAGAAATCTCGGGAGGGGGGGGTGAAAATTCCCCCCCAAAAAAATCGTGCAAAGAAAAATGCCTGGAAAAAAAATCGTGCAGCCATTACGTCAGAGAAAAAAAATCGTGCAAGCAAAGTGCAAATAGTCTTGAAAAAAAATTCTTGCAGGGGTTAAATGCATAAAAAAATCCTGCTGAGACAAGAGACTGAAAAAACAAATCGTGCCTCTAAAATGTTATACCCCCCCCGGGATTTCTAATGGTCCGCCCCTAAGAAAATGTTTGTACATGCTAAGCTGTACACCGAGAAATGGCGAATATGCGAATATACACTAGGACTTTGAACAACTTGATAATTTACATCCACTTAAATTGTGAATAATGTTTCTTTTGTCAGCTACATAAAATGCAAGAAGACGTCAAAAAATGCAAATCTGATGCAGAAGATCAAAGGGACGCCTTAGCCAATGAAGTTGCCGAACGTCACGATATTATCCTCAAATTAAAAGTTGACCTCTCAGCTTTAGAAGAAAGTTATCGCACTGCAGTTACCCAGGTATGTTTCTATGATTTTCCTTCAGATTAGTTTATGTGATACATCATCCTAAATATATTCTCAAATTGAACAGCTCGCAGAAAAGGATGGGGTGATCAAGCAGATGAAAACAGAATGCCAAGAACGCACTTCGGAGGTGAGTACATTTCGTATGCATGTTAGGATGAAATAAAGGAATGATTGAATTTGTGATCAAATGAAAAATGTGATTTTTGTAATTTCTATATTTATAGATTGAGGATTGTAACACAAAGTATCAGAAACTATCGTTGGCTTTTGAAGAATCACAGAAAAAGGTAATGCACTCATGTCAAGTTACTGTAAGTATACATCCTCTTGCAAAACGCAGAGGGATTTCAGTTGGTCATTTACCCCATCAGAGTCTGATATATATGGTTGGAAAACTATTAAAGCCGATTGTTCTGTAATTATTTGACCTTTGTGCCAAGAATCGCTGTCCTCTGATTAATTTATATTTCATGACCGTTTCTTTAGTTGTCAGAATATGAAAGTCGACTTCAATTTAAGGAAAAATCAAGCGATGAAATCGCAGAAACGTATGCAAAACAGGTATAAAGAGTTGTTAGAAATACATATGTTCACTATAATTTATATTTGATATCTTGCTGTATTAAATTTTCTGTTTTGTTTTCAATGTAGGTGGCTGAAAAAGATGGCGTTCTGCGTCAGTTTAAGGATGAGAATACGTCACTGAAAGAGCAGATTACTCAAGCTGAACTTAAAGTGAGTTGTAGTCAGTGAAATGATTCTGAATATGGAGCATATAGGATTATACTCTATAAGTGTTGCAGGAGAAGATGATGATCAACGTCAGAACTGTCAGTGACACTTACTGTATGAGGCACAAAAACTAAAGTATTGTCACTCATTTCAAGATTACTATATATGATGAGCGGATCTCTGGTAATATTTCTGAAAATTTTACCATTCTAGGTAAGTTACAGAGAGGAAGCTTTGAAACGTCTTCAACAGCAACAAAAAGATTGCTTAGACGAAGTATCCAGGCGAGAAAAGGCCATTCAAAACTTAGAACTGGAGTTACTCAAGGCTCAGGAACAAGCCCGTCTGGCCCAAGATGAGGTAAGGATGAATTTATGAACGAAATTATTTGGATTATGTGGCAGAGTGGTTATAGTGTGATTTTGTCTTTGTGACCCACCTGCGATCCTGCAGTTATAAGTCCTTAGTCCTTAGTCTCATGTGAGAAAAATGTTTCCAATATGACTCTTCCAAACACTGCAGGTTTTCCCCAGGTACTCCAGTTTCCTCCTGTTGTAATCTCACATTTAGTTTATATTTTTAACTCTGCAGATTTCCAAGAAAGATGACGCCATTCAAGGTTTGGAATCGGAAGTGGAGAATGCGAGGGAGAAACAACAGAACGCTGAAGAGGAGGTATGTGGATGGAAAGATCTCTAACCAGGCATATAACGATCTCTCATGCCCTAGATCCACGGATTCGTAATGTTTGAATATCTTTTACTCTACAGAATGGCCGTTTGGAAGCTCGTTGGCAATCTCAGCGCTTGTCTGTTCAGAGCGAGCATGATGCTCTGACAGGAGAGGTAATGTTGTATTTTGCTGTCATCCTTCTTTTAATTCTGAGTTAATGTTGGGCATTGTCTCACATGTAGATCAGCAGACGAGATGAAGCAATTCATAAACTGGAGATTGAGAAACTTCATCTGCAAGAAGAAATGACAAAATATAAAGAAGAGGTAATAGCTTGTCACTCGCGCTGGGTTTTGGGATATAGGTAATGGTGTCAATGTTGTCTTCTTGTTGTTATAGATTAAAGTAAAAGAACAATCCGTTGCAAATGTCAGAGAACAATACGAGGAATGCGTGAATGAGGTAATACGACATATTTAAAGGGCTACAGCTGTAATTACGAATAGTCTGTGCAGGTAGTGGCAATAACAAAACAGCAGATAAAGACATTTCAAACTTTCTTCGTCGAAACATCGACGTTCTGCTTGACTGTATTTTCAGCAACTGCCTGCAAAAATGTACTTCGGCCTGCGTGAAAAAGTATGCACGGTGTTCTCCTATCTTCGTTTTGTGTTGAAGACGCCGTTGTGCTCATGGTTTCTTATCTTTTAGGTGGAAGATCGTAACAGATCAATCGCTCTTCTGGAAGAAGAGATTTACACAGTGAAACAAGAAGCAGCTAAAAGCTATAAGAAGGTTTGACTACGTGAACCAATATTCATATGTCTTCTTTTGTCCTATAAGCTTTCGACTTGAATATCTACTTTTTTTCAATCTCAACATCGGGATGTTTCACACGAATAAATTTGGCAAGTGAAAACCGGTTTCGTACAATTTATGTCTTTTTTTAGTTGGAAGAATACGAGGATACAATCAAAGAATTGAATTTTAAACTAAATTCCGTGGAAAGTGATGCAAAGAACAGTGTTCATCAGGTAAGTACAAAATATTAAAATATTAATAGACTCTCGCTCTTGAGCTCGAAGCTACGGCGCCCGCCAACATGTTTTGAAAGCGCTGCAATATTCTTGTATATCAACATACAGGTCTCAATAAAGGAGGAAATCATCAACCAGTTGTCGACTGAGATTGAAACATTGCGAGGGCAAGAGAAAGAAGTCGAGGAAAAGGTAGGTAGTATAGTGGAAGCACAGTGAATATTTCATGAATTGTAGATCCCCAACGTTTTCCAAAGTAGAGTGAGCTAAATACGTAAAGTCATTCACTCATTCCCCACAATGACTTCTCAAGGAGGAAAAGTTTACATGCCTGATTTAAGTGAAAATGATATACATGTAGTTTTAATTCCGCTCAACGTGTCGCGTACTGTAAAAGCCGATTTACACTACAAAATTTTGCCTAAAACTGTCCCATGCAACCTGCTTACAATTTGAGTTGTACTGTGTAAATCAAGCACATAACTCATTTACGTTGTCGTTGTAAGCTGGTTGCTAATAAGCAGGTTGTATGCGACAGTTTTAGCTGTTGCTTAGCAGTTTTAGCTTTAGTTTGTCGCCCAAGTTGTAAGCAGGTTGTATGCGACAGTTTTAGCTGTTCCTTAGCAGTTTTAGCTTTAGTTTGTCGCCCAAGTTGTAAGCAGGTTGTATGCGACAGTTTTAGGCAAAAGTTGTGCGGTGTAAATCGGCCTTAATACTGTAGTAATTCACGGAATTCGACAAATTTTATATTTAGTTACGACGTCGAGAACAAATAATGGAGAAGTTGGATGGTGATTTGAAAACGCTGAATAATCAGCAGAAAGAGAAGGAGAAACAGGTGGGAATTCTGGGAAATTCTTAATTGCTTAGTTATGACATAGAATATATAATAGACCAGAAGCCTCACTGTACACCTTTCCTTAACATTTTCGTGTCCGCGATTTTCGCCTTGCGGATCACGAATTGCGCACGCTAGATGACGTGTGTGACACTTGCTGCGAACATCACGTCAGCGTTCGTCAGCGTCAATTCCTCAAATCAACGGTTTTTCTTGAAATTCGAAAAACATGCTCAAAGTGTACGCTGCATATTCTGCAATTATTGTGCAAATATTTTACGCTTTTGTTTTTTACGTTGTGTCTTCCTGTTGCGATGACCCAATATTTGAACCTGTGGCATTTAAAAACGATTAAAACAGCAATCTTTATTATCTAGTGATGGCAATTGATGGCGTTGCTCGCGTTTGATGGCGTCGTGATTACACTTGCTGGCTCGCGCTTGCGCATAAAAAATCTCGGACACAATTTTGGCTGAGTGAGGCTTCTGGTCTATTTTCTATTCTGTGGTTATGACGTCATACGCGTGACGTCACAATGTAAATTAATTTTGCACATGGGTTACACATAATTAAGTTGAAAAAATCACAGAACACAATTATCTTTAACTAGTTTGCGCATGGCTCATAATCGTAGCAATTCGAGAAAACCTTTTGATATTTTGCAGGTCGTTCGTCAGCTGGATGCCGTTAAGAAATTAGAACGTGATTTGAGAATTTCTCAGTCTGAATTCTCGGAACTGCAGCGAAAAACTTCGCATGAAGTGAGTATAAAGTATATTTAACAATAAGTTAACAAGTAAGGTGGGTTAGATGGTAAAAAAAGTAATTAGCAAACCTGCCGCAAAATGCATTGTAAGTCAACACCTTTCCTTATTCTTAGTGAGGCACATTCAGGTGTTTTTATGTTCATTTTATAGTTGTACATAGATTGATATTTTCACTATTTTCTAGACGGTGTTAAGGGATGACGCCATTAAAACTTTACAACAAGCTCGGGATGAATATCATGACAAGCTCATTGGACAGGAAGAAATGTTGGAATCTCTGAATGAAGATGTAGAAAACTTGAGAGTGGATATTCAAGAGAGAACAGATCAGGTACTGTGCTTAGTATATCTCCTGCAAGTGAACTGAGACAATGCTTATATCCTGTGGGATCGTGTTGAAGTACTGTAGCTAAATTTACAATCATGCCTGCCGATTTTATTTATATGCGAGTTATCAGCAAGAACCTCTAGGCTTTAGACAGCTAGCCTCACTGCCTCCCCATGATTTTTGGAGTTTGTAACTTCAGAATTCTAAATTCAACTACGTTTTTAAGCGCACATTTTGAATTTAGAGCTAACCCTTCTGCTTCCTAACCTCTGCAATCATTTTAAATTGCCAGTTTTAACTACAAAATGTACGAGCTCTCCTTGTAAAGGTGGAGATGGAAGAAAAACAATTTCAATAGTCACCATGTCACGTTCCTAGATTTAGCGTGACTTATGGTATATATGGTAGCCCGCGTTCAGGTGTGCGTTGAAGTCAATCATAATCAATACATTCTTTATTTAGCTGGCAGAAAAAGATGACGTCATTGAACAACTTGAACTCAAACTTGCAGTCTCGCAGGAGAAACACAAAACCTGTGCTGAGGAGGTAAACACTTTGTGTGCAAAAAGATTTTAACTATAGATGGATTTTGTTGATTGGAAATTTCCAACTACAAACTCCTCTACAATACAATGGGTCCAAAAAGACCTCTCAGAATTTGGTATTCGTATGTAAATGTTACTCAGTTGCGTGCCAAACTAGATACAAACTAGATATAGTAGCATCAATAGTGGCAACAGTTGCACGTTACTGTGTCTTCCTTTACTTTTCAGTTTTGGAATGTTTAGTTTTGTACTGTATACATTTGAATAAGGTTTTCGGCTTTCGCTTCACCAGCGACATCAAAGTTTTCAAACTTATTTTTCATTCAGGTTTCGAAGAAAAACGAAGCGTTCACAGAACTTCAAATGAAACTGGAATTACTGGAGGGAGAGTGCCAGACCTCGGGAGAAGATTTGAAGAATAAATTGGAAGTGATGAAGAAATTAAACACAGAACTATCCACGTGTAAAGAACGAGTAACGAATTTGACCAAAGAAAATGAAGTTCTGGAAGTCAAGGTATTATTTGAAGTGGCGCAGTTGTTAGTGTATGTGCCTCCACTGGGATCCTGTTCCTGCAGCTGTCTGATTATAATTTCATCTCAGTCACATGTGAGAAGAGTGCTTCCAGTTTGACTCCACCAAATACCGCAGATTTTCCTGGTGTTTCAGTTTTCTTCTGTAATAACACTAGACCAATAAGTGATGTACCTAAGGAGAGCAGTGTAGAACTGATAGAGCTTTCCAGTATAAATCAAGCTGGTTTAACCTTAACATTAATGACTGAAAACGTTTTCTTTTTACACCAGGTCGCCAAAAGTGATGCGGACATAAGTCAACTGACCAGCGAAAAACACGCTTGGGAGGAACAGGTATTAAGAATTGAAAATGAATTCTTTTTTCTAAGTTGCAATTGAATCATTTTAATATGGACTTTCTCTCTTTAGATGACAAAATTTTCTCAGAATGTTGAACAGCTGCAGTCGGCCATATCAACCGCAGATGAACAACACAAAAAAGAAGTGAGCGTTCTTTCTGTGTTTTTGATTGTGAGATTACTATGAGACTTCTATGTAGTTGTCTTATGATAACCTCAGTTGCAAGCGAGAAGAGTGCTTTCAGTTTCACTGTACTGGAGGTTTTCTTCGGTTTCCATCTGTAGAGTACCACTATGACCAACAAACCCGAAACTCTAGGGAGAACAGTTCAGAACTGACAGAGCTATCTAGTACGAATCAGATTAGTTTAGTTTAGGATTTCTCCTGTAGTAACACTGGATCAATATAAGAAATGACCCTTACTGGACCTCTATAGGGAGAGCATTTTAGAACTGATAGAGCTATCCAGTATAAATAAATAATTAAAAGTTAGTTTAGTTTAGGTTTCCTCCTGTAGTAACACTGGATCAATAAGAAATTATTCTTACTGGACTTCTAGGGAGAACAGTTTAGAACTGATAGAGCTATCCAGTATAAATAAAGTTAGTTTAGTTTAGGTTTCCTCCTGTAGTAACACTGGATCAATAAGAAATGACCCTTACTAGAGCTTTAGATAGAACAGTTTAGAACTGATAGAGCAATCCAGTATGAAAAAGGGTCATTATTAATCGTGTTTTTTTCTTATGCTGGGTAGAAAACTGAGCTGAACGTAGAATTGACAAAACTCAAGTCAGAGATGAGTGAAGGTGACAAAAATCGCAAGAATGTAAAATCACAGGTAAACCAATACTTCTGTCGTTATGTCCGCGTCGACTTTATAAATTTAGTTTCAATTATTGTTGTTGTGTTTAGTTGTGACGTCACATTTAGTTGCCAATAATAGGGCAGATATTGATCACGGGACATAGGGAACTGGGAACGGTATGTTAAGATATCTAAGAGAATAATAAAGGAACGAATACAATAATTGTTTTAGTTAAAGGAACGGGAAGGAAAGATAGAGGCTTTGAAGAAAGAACTGGATCACTTGAAAGGTCTTTATAAACAATCAATGAATAAGGTAAGTGGTAAAATGTGCATTACTTATATAGTGCTGATATTTTACAAGATTGTTGTTGAGCTGTTGTGAATAGTGGAGGAAACCTTCCTATATTTTTCTTAACTTCAGGTGAATGAACGAGATGAAAGCATTGGAAAACAAGAGAAAGAACTTGAAGAAACAAGAAAGCAGGTTTGAGTCAACACATTCTTAGTCTTCATCAATTACTAGTGCATAGATAATATTGGTGACTGTTTCCTTTATGCAAATACAGAAAATGTTTTGAATGTAGCTCGAGCCCCTCGATGAGCGTTTTTCGCTCTTGGGTAAACGCTAAATTAAATAAATATGTTTGTAAAAAAAGGTCTATGGTTTATGTATTTCGATGTTATTTAGAGTGATGCAATAAAACAAAGACTGCGGGAAACTGAAACGCAATGTAAAGCACTGACTGCAAGTTTGATTTACTACAAGGAACAAACTGATGCCAAAACTAAACAGGTAGAAACTCTTACGTTGCTCAGGTCAGTCAGTTGGCCACCTGGTCTGTTAGTCGGTAAGTTTGATGGCTGGTTAACCGGTTGGTCAACGTAATTCGTTTAATCAGTCAGATGATGAATCAATTTAAGCCAGTTTTCCACTTGAACCGTAGCGTAGTGTATTTGTTTGTTTCCTGAGTACTAGAGTGGAACTATTGACTTTTACACAAAAGAAAATGCTACGATACGTTACGGTTGAAGTGGAAAACAGGCTTAAGAGACAAGACATGTACTGTATAAGTACCCGCACAAGTCTGAGATATTACTGGCTTTGTTATTGTTTGACTGTAAAAGATATTTTGTTTTATTTACTGGACTGATAACAAACTTTATCGTCGTTTCGTCTAGTTTGAACAATCACAATTACGTGAGTCGAGGTCTGATGAAAACTTGAGGAAACATGAAGAATCTCTCGAAGAACTGAATGAAAAACTCCGTCAAAGAACAGAGGATTTTGACTCTTTAAACGAACGTTATGAACAAGAATATGCCAAGGTTTGTGGCGTTTTCTCCCAAATAAGAAATATATTTATCGCAAAGGAACTTATTTCAGTGTAATCTTGTTATTATAGAGCAAACAGCAAAGTAAAACAATGGATGAGTGTGTCGCTGAATTGTCGTCAACGCGCGATGCTTTGGGAAGATGTAAATCACAGGTAACGTTTTCATCTTTCACAAGCCTCTTATTAGAAATACTCTTATTTCCTGCTAATAAATGGGAATAAATTGAATAAAACTTTGCATTTCAGCTTGCTCACTGTGACGAAATGATTCAAACACTGAAAGAAAAGCTCGTCAGTAAACAGCAAGAGGTACTTCGTATTGTAGATCCTTCTTGTCTGAAGAAAGTTTACTTTGGAAAAAAGTAGAAGAGGGACATCTTAACCCCCGTCCCTACGATCGTCCCTGTTTGATGCCGTACTTTGATAGTAACCTCTAGTAGAAAATATACTGCTCACTTTGTGAAAAGATGTGAAGACCATTAACTTCTTTTCAGATCGGCGCTAAAGATGGGACAATAGAAAGGATTTCTAGCGATTTGGAATTGACAAAAGATAAAGCAGTGAAGGCGGAAAGAGAGGTAAATGCTTTAGATCTTCAACTGGTTGGCTTACTTTCCATTGAACTATCCCGAAAAGATTTTCATAAAGACCACACGGTCCACACCTAAATATTGTACTTGATATATGAGTAACTGCGCATTATTTCTTAAGTATAAAGATGACTGTATATCCAGGTACAAAACTTTGGTTGATAGGGATACAACTACCTGAAAAATACAAAGAAAACGTCGACTTTCCGTGCAAAGGCCCTGTATTTTTCAGGCAGTTGCGTCCCTATCAACTGATGTTTTGTTCAGGGTTCGTACATGTCAGGAAGAGTCAAATTCAAGGACTTTTCAAGGAAATTCAAGGACTAAATACTGAAGAAAAGGGGATTGAAATCAGATATGAACATGCAAAATAAATTGAACAAAATGTCCGTTTTGAATGTCAGAAAATATCCAGACCGTTCAAGATTGTATGTACATATAAAGAGGACTTTGTGTAAACGTACCAACATATTTAGGTGAAGGCGAAAGGTAGCAAGATCAAAGAACTGAAAATTGAATTATTATCAGAGAAAGAACAACATGCACAGCGAGTTGAACAGGTGAAGTTTTTGTGCTTTGGCCCTTCCGTACTTGTATCGTTTCGTGTGGGAGCTGTGTGGAGTCTCGACATCCGCTTACGACTTGTACAATCTCGTATAACGTTTGAACATGGCCTTGGCATACTTGTATTGTTTCGTGTGTAAGCTGTGTGGAGTCTTGACATCCGCTTACGACTTGTACAATCTCGTATAACGTTTGAACATAGCCTTGGCATACTTGTATTGTTTCGTGTGTAAGCTGTGTGGAGTCTTGATATCCGCTTACGACTTGTACAATCTCGTATAACGTTTGAACATGGCCTTGGCATACTTGTATTGTTTCGTGTGTAAGCTGTGTGGAGTCTTGACATCCGCTTACGACTTGTACAATCTCGTATAACGTTTCAACATTCGTGTTTTGCAGGCGACCAACTACGAGCTAAGATTACAGAAATCGGACACGGAATTAAAAACTTTGAGAGAAGAGAATCGGTTGCTGGAAAATAAGGTACCACTGTTGTTGTGCTGGTTGTAGGAAGGACAGATAGTGATTTTTCAAGCCTTCTCAAACTTAGTATTTAGAAATTAAAGTTTCGTTTTAGTAATTGTGAGGTCCAAATTCGTAGTTTTATACGTTTCAGCTTTCATCCAACCGACTTCTGAAGTATACGTTTATTATAATACAGCAGACATACTGCTTTTCTCAAGAGTTGTACTGACTTAATATTTAATTAAATTGTGTTGTTTTTTTGTTCAGTTATCTCGTGAAAACGAGGTGTGTCGAAAGGCGTCCAGTGAACTGGAGGAGAATAAACAGAAATACAGAGATGACGTAAGCTCATTGTTTAATAATATAAGAATTATTTTTACATCAGCTTTGTAGAAAACAACAGTGGGGAGGAGTGTTCGAGAGTCGAGAAATGGAACTCATATTTCTATGTCTTGCCTTGTTATTACGTAACTTCTCTTTGTTCGTTCAGTGTTTCGTGATGACATTTTTCTGCATGCGTGACTTTCTCTTTAACGTTCAGGTAACTCAGTACCAACAGACAGTTGAACAGCTCAGCGATCAACTAGGATTGTTGAAAGATAACAATGAAAAATGTAAAGATGAGGTAACGTGAAGAAATGTCTCTATTGCAAATGACTGAACTGTTCTCTCTAGAGGTCCAGTAAGGGTCATCGTAACTTTATCAGCCCTGTTGTACTAACGTGGCGTTAAACCGAAATACCCAGAGAAAAGCTGTGGTGTTTTGTAGAGTGAAGCTGGAAATACTTTTCTCAAAGCTTAGTCACTGAGATGAAAGAGACAAACACTATACCCACTGCGCATGTCACTAACTCTCCTCTCGCCGTGTTTTAGATTTCCAAGATGACAGAAACTGGGAAAAAGTTTCAGGAGGAATTATCTGAAAAAGAAAAACAACTTATGAAACACAGAAATCAGGTACGGATCATTTTATAGAGTACACATGATATCATTTATCTACCTTGAGCTCTTGCGCCATGCAGTGTATGTGAACGAGTTTAGTATTTTGTCTCAGGTTTCTGACTACGAAGAAACATTGCGAGATCTGCAGGCTCAGATGGCAATAACCGGCGCTGATTGTGAAAAGTTAGAACTGGAGGTAAAAGATGGAACTATACTGTGTAATAATATGCTGAGTTATGTAACGTTTTGCTGTTTCTTCAAAAGGTTATATTGGAGGGTTTTAAGAGGTGCTACCGAGCAGCAAATGGTGTGCATTTCAGAAATGTTGACACTTAGATGAGATGATATTCTATTTTTGGTCACCAAATACCAGACTACAACATATAATAAAAAGAATTATCATTTTCTCACTCTGATAACTGCAGGTTTACCACCATCTGCTGCAGGATAGATGAAACTCAGTAAAACTCAAGTACTAATTTACTAATCTTCATCTTAGAAAAAGAACTCAAACATGAAAATAAACCAACTGAATGAAGAACTTGTCAACTTGAGACTTCAATATAAGACTTCGTCACAAGAGGTATGGAAATAGACACTTTCCAATACCTTGAACCTCCTATTTCTATTAACTGTGCTTGAACACGAGGCTCAGCATTATGATCCTATTTAAGTTACGCCCGGATGAAACGAGGATGAGAGAGCATGAGAGTTGGCATGTAGTCACACGACCTTGGTGTATAGCTGTCCTTAATGTTTTCCCAACACTATAAATAAATTAAAACATAGTTGCAATAGACAACTTGCATGTTAGACTAATTTTTGATTTAGGCAAAAAAAGTAAATTCCCTTAAATAACTTATTAAAATCAGTAAAATTGCAAAATTTGGTTACGAAATGTTGTAAAATACAGAAAATATAGCCTTGCGAAGTTTGCATATTTTCAGTATGTTTGTATTAATACGTGCGGAAATTGTTACCATTTTTGAGCCGAAAATGGTAACAATTTCCGCACGTAATACAAATATACTGAAAATATGCAAACTTCGCAAGACTATATTTTCTGTAATTTTACTAATTTCATTATGTTCTTTTTAACTGTTGTGTTTGATTCCCTTCTCTTTACTTAGATTAGAATTTAGTCTAACATGCAAGTTGTCCATTACTTGAGCTTGAAATGTTCGCTGTAACAATACGTGGCTGCCAACTCTCATCCTCGTTTCACCTGGGGCTTTATAGTCAAGATATTGCCATCCTCCTTTTGTAACCATTTCAGAAAGTGTTTATCGTTAAATTGTAAATTTTCTATCTTCCAGTTCGCTAGAAACAGCGAGAGGTTGACTTTATTGGATCAAAAACACGTTCATTTGGAAGAACAATTGAGACAAAAAGTTGCTGATGTTGTACGCTTGGAGAAGATGCATCGCAAGAGTCAGTTGGAACTCAACAACGAACTACATGAAAAACGGTTGAGCAGCGAAAGAGTAAGAGTTATTTGTTAACTAACTAGTGTTTATTGTGCAATGGCTGCATTCTTCGTTCTCTAATGGTCTGTATATGTACACACAAATTAAAAATTTTAATTGATTTGTTTTTTTATAGATCATTGAACTTGAGGATTTACTTGAACAGATGAAAAATGATCTTCACCAGTCACAACGACGTCACCAGGATACCACTGCCATGGTAAGGTTGAAAGGTAGTATATATTTTTTAAGGATTGAGAGGCCCTTAGCTATAGCCTTCGTATGGCCGTCGCTATTATTAACGATTAGAAGCCTTCGTATGGCCGTCGCTCGAAACATCGAAGTTTTACTTTCGACCGTTCGAGTTTATATTTTTCTTTAAAGAGCGAGTAGAGGTAGATCTTGTCCCCTACACATAGCTCTAGCTTCTTTCGACATATAGGAAATCACTTTTGCAGTTGTTTTTCATGTTTTAGTTGAGGAAACAAGAAGCTCTCACTCGGCAACGCGAAGACGACCTGAAAGCCTCGCACAACGAGATTACTTCACTTTTGGCAAAGGTAAAAGTTTTTGGAAATCTGTGAAGTGTTTCAAAAGATTTTGTTGGCTATATGAGTCTTATTTTTGTAGATCGATTACCAGGCTGGAGAACACAGGAGTTTGTTGTTGAAGCTGGAGGAAGCGAATAAACAGTTAGAAATTATGAACAAGCAGGTTTGTAAAATATCATACACGAAACGCGCAATAATCACTAAGGTGTATTCGAGTGCTTGATCTAGTGGGTTTTAAACAAACCAGTATTTATTATTATTAAAGTCTTTATTGTCTAGAGTCACAACAGACGTGCAACTTTACAAACGTCAAATTCCTAATTATTACAGTTAAAAAATTGATCTATCCTAATTAATTATATGAAAGTTAAAAATAGTTAAAAAGACATCTATCTATAGAGAAGTTAAATAGTGGAGACTAGAATCAGTAAACGAAACAATAAATAAATGATCTCACATTTATTTCAGGTGAACAATTATCTTGAGGTTATGCAAGAAAAAGAACAAAAAATAATGTCGCTCGTCCAAAAGCTGGAAGACAGAAAAATCGAGGTAAAACAATAATTGTAGTTTCGACTTCTTTTGAAAGCAAATGCATGAATCATGAAGCGTGACTGATATTTTTATAGATCCGGGACAAGGAAAAAACTGTCAGTGCTTTGAAAACTGAACTTGGTTCAATTCTGGAAAAGAACAGAGCCCTAGCAGAAGAGGTGTGTAAGTTTGTGTTCCATTTCTTTCCAAGGAAACTTTGTACAGAGTTCTGATTAATTAATTGTTACATTTCTCGTCAATTTTGTATTTTTCCCAACAAAATGCAGATTGGTTCAAAGGACGGCGATGTCCGGGTGTTGCGGGCTGAACTGCTTTCAACGCAGAATAAAATTAAAGAAAATACGGGAGAGGTAAGTTCTTCCAGGTTGGCCTGGGTCCAATGTTGATTGAGTGATCATGTGCAACTAACTTATTTGATTGAGTGTTGATAATTAATGGCTTGATTTATTGACTGATCATTATTTTCCTAGATCGGTCGTTACGAAGAGAGATTGCTTCAAATGCAAAAGGAATTGGACAACTCGACCACGAACTATCGTCAATCTCAGTCTCAAGTGAGTCAACTAATTTATGATTTAAATATTGATTGCCACCTCACTCTTTATTATTATAAAAATAATCACAAGATATCCTCTCAATTAAACCTACAATTTTTCTTATACATCTATTCTCTTTTCATTTTTCTCCCAGCTTGTCAACTTGGAGAGAAATTTACAAAACGTGAAAGCTCATTTGATAAAAACTGAAGGAAGTCGCAAAGAAATTAACGACCAGGTTTCTAGTTTTTTTTTTTGTATTACTCTATATTGCTTGCGAACTTCAAGGAATTCCCCATTGACCATTTATATCTTTCCGTAATACCCACAATAAAATAAATAAGTAGCTGACAGTCGACTCTAAAAGGTTGGGGCTTGTTTACAATTATTGTTACCTTGTAGGTATTTTTTATGTCGTGTTTGTTCTCTTTAGTTGAATGAGAAATCCAAAGAACTTGCAACTGCTAAAGCTGAACTTGTTGTGTTTAAACAACAGAATACTGGTCTTCAACAACAGGTATGCAGAAGAATGGAATGATGCGAATAGATAGTACGAAGTTCATCCCCTTTCACTGTGCCTTTCAGGAATGGCCTTTACTAAAGCCATAGAAATTTTTCTTTGCAGTTTTTAAAATATTTTTACTCTCGTATAGATTACAGGTGTGGACGACAGAGCGAGACGTTTGAAAAGCGAACTAAAGAAAGTTCAAGAACGACATAAAACCTCCAGTGAAGAGGTACTGTGTATTGAATGATTATAATGAATGATTCAAACCTGGACTTGAAGATTGCTATGATTGATCTGAAAACGTATAGTGAGAATGGTGCCCGAAATCTTGCCTGAAATGGGCTGAGTAGGGACCGGATGTATATTGATTGTGACAGCATAGAGGTGACTAAATTATTTAAAAGACTGGAATAATTTTTCTCAGGAGGTTCAGACACAAACTATCGCAACTTACTTTAGATCACTAGGTGATCTACCCTAAAAATACAATTGAAAATATAACAAAGTTGGACAATTGACATCTTGTAAATCTAACGTGTGAAAGATCCTCTTTGATAGCAATCTGTTTAGAAGAGAGTCTAAAACGATCATTTTGTTTCAAGGCTTCAAAACTGAACCGTACAGTTGAGATGTTAAAGAATGAGTTATCAGTGACGCAAGATCAAAACAAGAAACAAACAGATGAACTGAATCAACTTCAGGAACAGATTGTTGTATTGAAGGTCGAGCAAGCAACCTTGCAAGAAAAATGTCGCCTCGCGTTAGAAGAGGTAGGATTTGGGGGTTTTGCTCGAGTCTCAGGAATCCGAACTGGATGGTCCTAAGAGGATTCGGATATTTAGATGTAACCAAAAATAAAACGACCAAAAACAATGCATGGAGAACAGTTGGATTTTCAAAACAATGAATGAACAATGGTACATTCTGATCACTGAATTGTGTATTGTTTATGTGTTGAGCGTCGTGCAAAAGTTTTACTTTGTTCTCTTCACTTCTTCTTGATTCTACTTGGTTTTACATTCTCCCAATTCTCATCCGAGCCATAATCGTACGGTAAAATTAATCCCATTTGTAACCTCACTCATATCCCTCACCCTAATCTTGTTGAGACTATGAAGTTTCACCCAAAATAATTCTGATTTTGTATATTTTCTGTAGAGTGAAAGATCTCGACATGATTTGCAAGAATTCAGTAAGCTCCATCACAACTGTCAAGATGAGGTACGTCGTTTAAACTCGACATTTAGACGCTGCATCATTTGTATCTGAAGCTTCACATTTTTTGTTTCAGATTCATTCAATGCGTATTGCCTTGGATGACACTCGAGGACATCGTGATCGTCTTCAGAGAGAAAGTGAAGTGATTGTGGAGAACATCAATCATTGGGTCAAGGAACAAAAGTAAAATAACTTGCTTTATTTGTAAAAATACGCACGTAAAAACGCTCAAGTTGTTACAAACTAGCCTGCGTGGCCCTCAGTTTTATGGGGGGGGGGGGGCTGATTTGCAACACACAGGCTAGTAACAAACCTGCAGCAGACTTGTAGCAATGCTGTTCCAACACTAACTTGTCAACAAGATGTGTTCCCACTGCTTGTCCCCAGCTTGTTGACAACTTGCTACAAGGTTGTTGAGCTCGACAGAATTGTTACAAGTTGTTCCAACAACTTGTTCTCGTCCTGCAATTCAACAATTTGTCAACAAGTTGTGAGTGACAAACTTGCAGCAATGTGATAAAATAACAGCATTGTTACAACTTGTTGACAAGCTTGCTACAAGCCTGTTGCGAACACATCTTGTTGACAAGTTTTGAGATTTTTACATGTGTAGACACAAGGTGTGGGATTGGCAAGGAGAATAGTTATCAATAGATAGTCAATACTGGGGGGCAGATTCCTCAAAATTTAGCGGATTCTAAAGAGTAGTGGAGATGTTACGTAATACTGTATGTCTTTATTTTTATAGGGAAGGAAATTCAAAGCTGGCAATGAAATTAAGGTATAAAATACCATTTAAAGAGATTTGAAAAACATAGATTTATAAAACACAAAACCTTTGCAAATTTACACATAGGTTAAATGGTAAACCAGGCAATATAGGAACTTTATGCTAATTGCCCAACCTATTGTGAAGCTTCGAGATTGTTGATGGTCTCATCCTCATACAGTCGTTGTCAATTTTATAGAGAACAAAGTGAAAGCATAGTGTCCTTACAAGCTGACAAAGAGTAAGTATATTTAACAGTGTTGTTACAGTAAATAATGAGTGCGAGTGTAGTGGCAGCGTGTTCATAAAAATATATTTTACCATTTAGACAGCTGATGGAAACGAATGATTCGCTGAAACGGACAAACAGTTCTTTCAAAGCTGAGATAGGTACATAGATCATCTTTCCTTATGCCGTAGAGATATTAATATTTAAGTTTTTGTTTTAATGTGTTTATCGGCAAGAGCCAGTGTCCTAACCACATTTGTTAATATTGCCTTTGCTAATTTTGCTGTAGAAGAACTAAGACTGATGAGTGAACAATATAAGGTACAGTAGACAATAAAATATTCTAAATTTTAGTATCGTGAATGGCTATACCACAGGCTATACCGAAAGTTGTTGTTTTATGTGGTGAATTTTATTCTTTCACAGGCCCTGCAAGCTCGCTCTGCTGAACAAGAAATTGCAATCCAGCAACTCCGTGCACATCTCCAAGAAAATGTGTATGTATATGACGAGAATTGTGGGCAGTTTCGAGTCCGTTTTAACCATTAATGGTTTTATACATAAGGAAACTGTAGAGACGAATGTTAAAATGCCAGAAGAATTTTTCCAGTTTGACTCTTACTCCAAACTCTAGGAAGAAAAATATGGATCTTATAGAGCTATCCAGTATGTAAAGACATATTAGTTAACCTGATTGTATTTCGATGTTTTCCAGTTTTGACCAGGAGAAAGAAGCGATGAACAGATCTCAGACGTTGGAAGATTTACACCACCAACTTCAGATGAATATTGAAGCAAACAAAGAATTGAACCAGCGAGTAAGTCCAGAGTAAATTAAGTTAAATCCTGTTCAACAACGACACAGAAACTTTCCTACGCTTACACGAGGCAGTTCAGGGAGTCTCAAAATGTTGTTGTTTTTTCCGTTTGTCAGGTAAACAGCTTCAAGAAAGAAAGACTTCGTCAACAAGAAATAGTTGATCAAGAACGCGTTGCAAGACGGGTAAATATTTACATGAAATATCTGTCTTGTTATCTTTCGTGAGTACCTGGGATCCTTATTTTGGAAGAATTTGATTATTCAGTAAGCAAATCTGTTTTCGTAACGGTCGCAAAGATAGAATCGCGATCTTTCTCAACGACCAGATCATAATAGTTTATACCTGTAAACCACATATAAATCATAAGTATTCTCTATTTATAACCACTCTGGCTATTTTTAGTTTTAAACTGTTGTATTTCGGCTCGTGGCTCAATCTTTACGACCGTTACGACCATATGGAAACCTGGCTTAATTGATTTTTTTTTTCATTTCTAGAACCTTATGCTACAGTTGGACGCGAGAAGTCAGACAATTCTCGATCTAAAATCTCAATTAGACAATATCAAAGATGATCTAATACCAAACTTGGATAATTCTGTATTGGTAGGCGAATTGACAAGCGAATTAATTCACTGATGTAGATGACTCCAACAATTCGAATACTTGAACTGATCTTGTATTTTTCTGTTTCAGTCGGAATCATTTGGATTCAATGATTCAGCTTACATCTCGGCACTGGAGCGAGGACTGTAAGTATTTATTACAGTTTTCATTTTTTGAGGTATTGATAGATTCCTGCTGTATGCAATTTGCAAGTAAAGAGTGCCTCCAAGTCCCCCGGTTTGCTCCTGTGTTGCCACTAGAGGCAAGAAGAGATGACCATATAAGGTGCTTCGGTGGCGTCAGAACAAGCGTCTTTCACCTCCGAGATTGTGGGTTCGATTCTCGCTACGGACTCATGTGAAAAGAGTGAGTCAACGCTCTGCCGAAAATCGTGGGTTTTCTCCGGGTGCTCCGGTTTCCTCCCACAGGGAAAGTTGACAGAGTTGGTTAGGATAAACACAGTTAGGAAAGTTGTATCACAATTGTTGTAAAGATAAAATAGTCTAGGCTAACGCCCGTATTGTAAAAGCTCACTCACACTCAGTGAGTGGAAGTTCAATCTGAGCTTCTCTCGAGTGTCATTGCTGGTTTTGAATAACTGGAGGGTTAGTGTCGTACCTTACTATGTGACTACTCACCCTCCAGCTATTCAAAAACAGCACTGACACTCAAGAGAAGCTCAAATTGAACCTCCACTCATTAAGTGTGAGTGAGCTTTTAGAATACGGGCGTAAGTATGTATTATAGGTAAGTCGAATACTTGATGTAGAGCGCATTTGATCATATTCACATGTCAATTTACGCTATAAAAATCGTAATCGTATTGGCGCATCCATCTTCATAACCGTTTTGTTTCTTTTGTAGATCGAAGTCTGCTTCGTCAGAAAAAGTACGTTCACCATCTTCCTACTTTTGTGGTTTTGTTTTTGTGTATTCATGTTCTCATTAGAAACTCAATTTATATTTTTAGATACGCCATGCGTTGCGAAGGGAGCTCACCAAAGCTGGAGTAAAGGATCCACTGACTCTGGATAAATCATTTTGGATTCAGAGAGTTGGAGAGGTAATGAAAACTACGATAAAAAAATTTAACTATATCAGGATTTTTGTACACTCGACAGAACTAAATGAGTGTTTTATAAATGGAAATTTTGAGTGTGAATTTTATACATTTATTACATCTAACCAGGAACAGTTGTGAAAAATACAACTATATATAGGCCTTCTGGTAGGCATCGAACCTGCGGCCCTGCGATTTAGCCTGCGAACAGGCTCTCTATGAACTCTCTCTAATTCAATTCAAAGAGCCTGTTCGCAGGCTACTGCGATTCCGGTGCAGTGCTCTAACGGTTAGCACTATTTTCCATCCCGCAAACTGACCTGACGTTATTTTCGGAAGATAGAAGAGGTGTTAAATGGCTATGTAACTAACCCAAACCCTACTCTAACCGCAACCCTAACTCTAACCCTAACCGAGTTAATAAAAAATGGCCAAAAAAACGACTTTAGAAAATCGATAGGGCAGTTTGCTAGATGGAAAAAAGTGCTAACCTGCTTCAACTTGAACCAACTGAGCTACAGAGGCCAGTTGTCGAGCTCTAACCACAAGTTCGTGTTTTTTATTCAGCTATCATCACAGCTACAGCAAAGCAGCGAGTATTGGGCAGAGAAAGTCAGAGATCTCTCAGCACAACTGGAGCGTGAAAGACCTATCTCACCTTTGAGGTGACAATGACATTTTAGCATTTTAAATATGTAAATTTTTAATATATATACGCATAACAGACAATATATTCCTCATTTTTACGAATGGTAGTAAATTATAGACATTGTATATATATGTATTGATACGAATAATAATCACGAACTTATTTATTATTTTAGTCACTGTATATAATATATATCTCATGTAACACATTTTTTAATGACAAAATAAAATCTAAATGTAAGGTAGTACATTATTATTGCATCTGTTGAAAAACAATATTAGCTTACATGAAGTTTCCATGGGAGAAGACGTAGATTACTTCATGTAATAAAAAACGAAGCGTTCATCCAAGATGGCGGAAAATGGCGTCGAAGAAGAAGAAAATATGACTTCAGAAAATGATCTTCCCCCTGGCTGGGAAACTCGTTTTATGACTGATGGACGGATATATTACATCGAGTAAGTATGGTGTATTTTCTCTGCCGTTACGTACATGTGTATGTGCTGTTTATGTCCACAATAAAGTGTCAGAAGTGTACACTGTAGTCTGTAGACGTTTTGAGAATTGAGGTCCAAAGTTATAGAGTTGTAAATTCTAACATTCATACATCGTTCTTTCGCAGCCATAATACAAAACGAACCCAGTGGGAACATCCTAAGAATGGCATAGTTACACGCATCGAAGGAGGTACGATATTGTTGAGTTTAAACCAATTTGGAAGCTGGTCAACTCGACCCACTGACCAACTCGGCCCATACCATCTTGGCCCAATTGTTTACTACTGTTTGACATATTAGGAAAGCTGATATTTTACAAACCAAACCAATACAGCCATTTGCAGTTGCATTGGGCGTACAGATGAATAAAGTTTGAGAACATCCAGTTTGACTTAATTTAATTAACGAAGTGGCTATTCGTACTGGAATATGGCACCCGATTCTTACATTACGTAAAGTGGCAATATAAAATAGTTTTTTGCAACAGTTTTTAGCGAGCTTGCTGCTAGCGCAATCGGCAAAGGCGTTGCGTGCGTGCAAAGTGAAACGAGGTCGGGTCCGGGTTTAGTTTTTGCCGTCGGTTTTCTGTTGACTTAAAATATTTTTACTTTTTTCCCTCCCACTTTTTAAAATATTTATTTTACTTAAAATATTTTTACTTTTTTCCCCCCCACTTTTTTAACTCTCAAATAGTTTATTAGACCTTTTATTGGTTAGGGTTAGAGAAGGGGTTGGGGTCAGGTTTATCTTAAATATTATGACTGCAGTACGAATAGCAAATCAAACTCGGCGTACTGTTCCAGTACGAATAGCCACGGCGTTTAATTAAAGAATCTATCGAAGTTTCAAATTCTCGATCTGTCTGTTTTGATACTAAATTACTACTAATCATTCAAATCTCTCTCAAAATTTGCAAAGATAGAATGCAGTCATGGCTCCTGTCATGCAGACATGGCAGTTTTTTATGCACCTATCAATGTTAAGCCCCAGAGGGGGGTGGGGTTGGGCATAGGTGGGGCATTTGATTTTTTGAGCAAATTTTCAATCAAATGCCCCACCGTCAGGCAATAAATATTGGTCAAATGCCCCACCATTTTGCAATAAATACTATATTAATAAACGTCATTCGGTTCAAATTGCCCCAACTCGGGGCCAAAATGCTATTCAAAATCCCCAGGGTGGGGATGCAATTGATGATCAAATACCCCACATAAGCCTGAACCCCCTCCTCTGAGGGTTAACATTGATAGGTGCATTAGTGGTTAGATTAGTCAGTTTACGAGCGGGCAGAGTTGTTCCTTGAACGGTGGGCCGAGTTGGTTAGTGGGCCGAGTTGACTGTAAAGTATAAACAAAACAGTTTGATAAAAAATGAAATACTGAATTATTGCTTGGTTTTCAGAACTACCTTTTGGTTGGCATAAAGAACAAGATGAAGATGGCCAGGACTACTATGTGGAGTAAGTGAAACTTTTTCCTTGGTTTATAAATACGCCAAAACCATTTCCTTGTCCCAATTATGGGAATACTTGTTACCGTGGGGTTGTTGGTGGGTCCTCCTTTGACCTTTGCATTTAACCAAAATCTAGTCTACACAGTGTTTATCAAATTAATTTAGCTTTTCTTTATTTTTACTGTTAGCTCAGTAAAAGGTAAAACAACATATATAGATCCTCGTGTGGCATTGACAACCAAGCCAAAAGTTAAAGGCAAGGTTAAAGTGGACACATTCAAGACGGCAATGGATATTTTGAAAGATAAGAATTTGGCGGGAAAAGTTGTGATAATTACTGGGGCAAACAGTGGTATAGGTAAGTTCAATGTTTGTGTGTTTTATGTGGTGACACTTGATGCCATCATATGCTAATGCCTATCAACCTTTTGACCTACCTGTACACCCTTAGCCTTCACACACATACATCCTACTTAACCCATTGAGCCGCAATGCGCCCTACTTATTTTTTCACTTGTCTGACACCAGATGATTTTACTTGTCAAGGGGGAAGCTCTGCAGCATAATGGGTTAACTAAAAAATCTGACAATGTCTCTAGTTAACCCATTGAGCTGCAATGAGCTGCAGTGTGCCCTACTTATTTTTTTTACTTGTCTAATGCCAGATTATTTTACACATCGAGGGGGCAGCTCTGCAGCTTAATGGGTTAATTGTCAATTTATTTTCATTTGAAGGATTTGAAACAACAAAAGCAATGTCTCTTTATGGTGCTCATGTTATCATGGCTTGTCGGGATATCCGTAAAGGAAACATGGCTGCCGAGAAAATACGAGATATTCGCAAGACTCTAATTCCTAAACTGAATGTTTTAAGACTTGATCTTGCATCCCTTGAAAGTATTGAAAATTTTGCAGAACAATTCAAAGCTATGAAACTGTAAGTAAAAATAATTTAAATTAGTTAAATGAATATAGTTCATATGTACATTGGATCCCCATTTTGAGGTACTCTGTCTAATGCAAACAATTTTACGTATCAAGGAGAGAGTGCTGGTGCTCAATGATTTCATTAATACCCTTTACATAACACTTCTTTATTTACTGCCATCCACATCATTGTTTTCTATATCATTCAGTCACTCTTTGTTTTGACATATTTTGTAACAATGGCATATTATTAACTGGATGTTTCTTCAAATTTTAGACCACTACATATTCTCATCTGCAATGCTGCAGTTTTATCACCATCATGGCAACAAACCAAAGACAATATTGAACTAACTTTTGGTGTCAACCATGTTGGTCATCATTACCTCGTTAAATTGTTACAAGATTGTTTGATCAAGTCTGCACCAGCCCGAGTGGTTGTCACCAGCTCTGAATCACACAGGTAATGAACTGATGATATTCCTACTAAGGGCCTGTCTGTATGGAAGCTGGGCTGGCCCGCTAAGCGAGATAGCCCGGTAAGCGAGATCTCGCTGACATGTGTAGTTATTTTTATAATAAAAATTATTGTGCATTTATGTACAAGCGGGCTGGCCTGGTTGCCAAGATCTCTCTTGAAAGAGGCAAGATCACACTTACCAGGATGGAAATTACTCCATATAAATACTCGCTAGCCCGGTTGTCGGGATGAAAGTTCAAAGATACTGCCACAAGCTGTCAAAACCACAAAATTGTCCCTGCAAGGGGGATGAAAATTTCTCATATACAAGTACTGTACAAGCAAGAGAAATTATTCCACTTATCAGGCTGTCTCGCTAAGTGGCTTCCATATAAACAGGCCCTTAAGAACTATCATACAGCAGACTGTGATCAACCTGCAGTTCTCAGAATATGTCTTTCAGTATGTAGTACTTACAGTAGTCTTGCTGCAAATGTAGTATTTCCTGCAAATCAATTAACCTTTCTCACGCCGCCATTTTTGGGTGACATTTATTCAGCCAAAGTCTGCGAGATAAGTCCACATAACAGCGACTTTTTATAATTTTTTGGACGAATGATGGTAAATTTGCTCTGTTAATGGTTAGTTTATTTTGAAACATTGCTTTTCTTACTTGTCTGTATTGGTTAACAAGAATTAGATGGCACCCAAAAATGGCAGATATTCGTCATCGTGAGAAAGGCTAATAAAATTAAGAGATGCGCAATTATAGGAACGTTTCTGAAGTTGACCAAGATCAGCTGTCCTGTAACAGCAGGTGCGCCAAGAATTGCATCGGGGGGAGGCACTTTGCCACGGCCCTGCATACTGTAACGCTTGCTGAATAGCACACAATGAAAAAGTCAGAGCTTTTCATTTGCATGGAAATTTTTGTTATATGTGTCCCACTTCCCATATAAATGATATGATGATATCATCTCTATTTTTAGATTCCCAAATTTCAACTACACAGAAGAGCTTGACATAAAAAAGCTACCCTTACAAAAATCAGATTATTGGTCAATCCTGGCCTATAATCAATCTAAACTGAGTAATATCCTGTTTTCCATGGAGCTAAACCGTCGCCTCGCCCCACAGGGGGTAACCTCAAATGCTGTCCATCCCGGAAACATGATCTATACATCACTGGCTAAAAATTCTTGGTTGTACTGGATGATGTATTTTTTGTGCCGTCCATTCTCTAAATCACCGGTATGTAACTTTTCAGTTTTGTACTTTATTAGGGGTTATTTAGTTATTATTATTAAGGGTTAAAACCCTTAGCTAAATACTTTTTAACTATTAAATTAAGCAACTTTTTTTAAAGTAATGTTTTAAAAAAGTTGAGTAATTTAATATTGAATAACTTTAGTAAAGGGTTAATTTTGAGTAACTTTTGGCAATACACCTTGATGCATCCTACTTTATTATTTTATTCTGTCTAATGCCAGACAATTTTACTTATGGGCACTGTGTGGCACTCAATTGGTTAATATATTCTTTTTGATAACCAAATCTTAACAGTTTCTTTTGTTTGAAAATCACTAATTATTTTTATTAAAGCTGCATGCAAACCTACATAGTATAGATGGATTTTCAGATTTTGGTTTGGGGGAGGTGATTTGGGTTGGGGTGAAAGTTTTTGGTTTTATTTAATTAAAAAAATTATTGTTTTAAGTGTTGCTTTGTTCAAAACGCTTCTTTCAATCACGCTACTGTCATTTAACCCAACAAGTATTAAAAATCTGGGCACAGGTGTGCAAATTTCTCTGTGTGGGTGGGAAAACTTTCTCAAGCGGTGCAAAATATATTTGGGGGTGTGCAACCCCCTTCGTTAGCCAGAAAATCCGTCTATGCTACATAGTATAGCTCATACAGTATACAAAATATTGCAGCTACAATATTTCATTTCTTCACTGATGTAGGCGCAAGGTGCTGCAGTTGTGACTTACTGTGCTACATCACGAGAACTGGACAATTCAGGAGGGTACTACTTTAATAATTTTTATGCAATCGAACCTTCAAAGGAAGCCATGAACGCGGAAACAGCCCAAGAACTCTGGAAACTCACAGACTATCTGATAAGTGATAGGCAGAAACTATACAGGTATCATATTTACTGAATTAATTTCAATTTTGTTATATTTATTTCTTATGTTTTTTAAAAAAACATAGGTGTGGGGGCGAGGGAGAAAGAAATTTGCCTGACATTCTTTATTTTGCACCATTATAACAAGTACGCGATGCATGCATGTATCTGAAAAAAAACTTGATTTACATTTTCATCACTTATTATAATAAATATAATAGCAAATAAAATTTTAAGGTCAAACATAATACAAATTTAACAGGGCTGTACTCAGCATGGAGGGCAGCAGGGGCAATTCCCCCCCCCCCCTCCCCTCCCGCCGAAAAATTTTAACTAATTTTATAATGTGATTATGATTGTAACAGATAATTATGCAGTAAGGAAATAAAAATTTCGTATTTATTCGAAGTGTCCGACTGTCTGTACACTGTCACTTGTCAATCCATACTCATCAAATTTTCAAAACTTTATTGTGATCATATGAAGCAAAAGTTCTGTCGCTTGTTGTTTACACTTGCCAATGTTGACTGTTGAGTAACATACACAAATTATTCAAGAACATGCATTACTGTAGCAACGTCAATGAGTCAAATCATATATCCAAGACCACTGAATAGTAAAGAATGTTTTATGTTTTGAAAGTCGTGAGTATAATAGTATATAATTCAATTCCAATCTTGTGTCAGTTAATGATATACCACAGTTTAACACAACATATCGAAACAAAAACAATTTGTGTTGTGGGAGAGTCGTCGGTTTGAGTAGAACTAGAAGGTATCACAAGTTTAGTTGTGTACATTGTGTGCCATTGATCTGATCCATCCATATAATATATGATTATTGTAGCTGTTAAGTTTTTTTTCCATACTATGAATGAATTTAGGTACGATTGTCTTGATTGCACTTGAAGAAAGTGGAAAAAGTGGGTAAAATGAACGAAAAGTAAAGGCTATAGCCTTACTTTTAAGCCATTTTTGTTTCTTTTTCAAAAATGAAAAAAGTGGCTTAAAATAGACGAAAATTTATGTGATTACCCTAATACTTTTAAGACTTGCTTTTGCCCCTTTTTCAAGAATAAAAAAGCATGTTTTTTTTCTGTGTTGGTGCAATGTACTCAGGTGAATATTACGCTTGTGATGTTACTCTGAGTGAAATATCAGTGCCCACGGTGGGCCAGGCATATTTTTCAAGCTTGTGGTGTGGATATTCAGGGACCACAGCAGCCTCGTCTCTAGGCCTCTTAATACGCAGTCTTATGTGGGATAATATAAAAGGTGTGCACAAAGGACTAGGGACTAATCTGTGACCATAGTTATTACAAAAGTCAAAAGTCACCGAACTGTGGAATCGCATCAAAAATTCGTATATTGGCCACTCCCACCAACGTCTTCGACCGCACCTACATATATTTTTGCATGTTTACAATTCTAATTTTGAACAGCCAATCGGGTTCTTGGTAACAATTACAATTAAACGTGGATTGGCTGTTTAAAATTAGAATCGTAAAGATGCAAAAATATGTAGGCGCGGTCGTAGACGTTTGTGGGAGTGGTCGATATACCACTTTTTGATGCGATTCCACAGTCTCCACAGTTCGGTGACTTTCGTAATATATCTTTTAAAAATCAAAAATTGCCTCAACCTACTCCAACCTTTCTGAAAATTGTGGAGAACCATTTTTGTCATCAAAACAATTACTTTCCACGTTTAGACGGCGTATTTTGGAAAATTTTCCTGATTGGTTTCCTTTTATCCGAGTATCGTGCTAAATGAAGTAAAATTGAACTAAAGATTAATTATGACTTAATTATGACCTCTTTTATGACTTAATTCTTAAAGATAGCTCAGACTCCCCCCAGGGTGCCCGCCTCAGACTTCAGTTGGTATCAAAATATCGCTGTATTCACTTTAATAAATTTGACAAGAAATAAAATATCACTGCATGAAATTAACAAGAAATAAAATAATATCTCACTGTAAAAAATAAATTTGAAAAGTGAATTGAAGTAATACAATTGAATTTACACCAAGTACCGCCGAGCTTGCTGACAAATTTGGCTGTATGGTGTAAATTTTTATAGTTTATTTATAGTTCAATCGGTTGTGCATCTATGGTTGTGCACAGTGATTGTGCACCTATGGTATATGGCCACTGAGCTGTATAATAACCTGTAATATAGTATAGCTCAGTGTATATGGCCAGTGATACGCCCCCCCCTGTCATTCTAAAATAGCTCGGAATTTGTCGACTTGCATCGTACAGTCCAGAGATCCCGAAGAAGTGCCGGGCTTTTCCGAATTTTAATTTTTTTACCGCGTGGTGAAGAATGGAGAAACAAGTAAAAATTAAAATGGAGGACATTTTTTTATCAAATTTTATACCTTTATTGGAAGGTAATATGCTTTATTTAATATCAAACCTTATAGTAGAGTACTTAGATTGCCAATATAGATGGAAATTTAGGACATCCAGCCTGAATTTAATGCGATATTTCGACATAAAGTTTGTACTTTTGCTTTGCACCTGGTTCGATTTATAATTTCTATAAGCGATTGTGGAACTTTGAACCAGTTTTAATTCATAATTATTGTCGAACAAGTGAGTAAAATGACTAACTAAGATCAAGAATTGTTTGAGAAAATTTTATTAAATGCCATATACACGAATATTTCATAGACGAATACAGTATTTCATCAGCTAATTCAGCTTGTACATTTCAATCTTGCGACAAAATATTTTAACAATATGGTAGAAGTAGCCTTGCTTTAGCAACATTACAATGTATTTGATTCTTGCTTGCAAAACAAAGTTTGAAGCACATCTACTCCAAGCTCAAAAATTTGCAACCGTAGCATATTTTCAACATGGGCTGGCAAGGATTCAGAGAGTGCTAAAAAATAAAAAGGACAGTATTTGTTAATTTAAAAGCAGATTAACTTGATTTATTAGGACAGCAGATGCCTGAAGTCAAAATGAAGTTGAAAAAAATTCCAATCAAATTTTTCCAATTGGTCAGCATTTTTCAAATCTATTGGGTCGTTCCAGAAAAGATCTGCACTCCCCCCGCGGAGGAAATTTCTGCTGTCTGGAGGGGGGAGATAGACAAAAATTGTTTCTGATAATCAATGTATCGCATGTTTTTATTGTCCAACATGGACGTGACTTTCAGACAATCCTCCCTTATTCAATATTCACTTTATTTTCTAATTTCTACTGTGAAAATCAGAGGAAATTGAACCTAAAACCTTCAGTTTCATCTCGGAGACGGGTTTTCCAAAACTTTTAACAACTGAACTGTATTTTTGAGCCGGTTTTATTAAGTTCATGAAATGTTAAAATTCCTGCATGGTCCCAGGGGCCGGGTTCACACTCTTAGTAAAATTTTCATCAATTTTTATAGATGTGCAGTGCAAGTTCCAAGAATGTTGCAAGACTCGTGATTATGAAAAATGGACACATTCCAAGATCCTGAATTAGAGGTAAATGATTTTTCTTCTAATTATTTCTAACCTTCTCCTTTATGTCTTGGACTAATATATTAATTTGTTTCATGTTCTTAATAGTGAGTTTTTAAATTTTCTAGATGTGTGTTGCAATTTCAAAGAATGTCTCAAGATGTTGGCTGAAGTGTTTTTCATCACAAAAATGAACACTGTCATTGGAAAGTATATAAAAGGTCTTAATATTTTCATGTTTTATCTTACATGAAATGTTTTGAACATTATATGATTGCCTGTGATCAATAGTTTCAAAAATCCAAGCAGATTATTGTAAAAATAGCGTGACCATGTTACTTATGACACAAAATACAACAAAAGTAATAAATGCAATCTTTACACCTCAATATGGTGAGTGCACAATAATTGCACTCTTTTTATTCCAGGGTTCGAAATAATGGTTCGTGAATCACGAATCAATTTTCATTTTTCACGAATCCAATTTCATAGAAATTGATCAAAATCACGAGTCAAACCGAACCATTTTTTCAGAATTAATTCGAACCCTGTATTCTATTATTACACCACTATTTTGATTTGTATTTATTTCGAAAATTTCAGTTTTGTGGTTTCTCAATTACTTGATTAATTTAAGTTTTTTTCCACTGATCACAGAAAGTCTATAATTCTCAAAGCATATATAAGCATTTATGAGCAAGCCAGAAAATGACAAACTTTTGGCTTTGTTATATCAGTTCAGCATTGAGAAGATTGAGGTGGTTTTTATTACAAACCAAAGTGGCTTTATTAGTTTTAATTCACGATTGAGTATTTTCGTATAGTAGTTTTTTTCATTAAAAGGATTAAAAGAACATCAATTGATTAACATTTGTCTCATCACAATTTGTGTTTTGAACTTATCGAAGTGCATTGTAAAAACAGTAAACTTATGTTAATCCATCTCAATCTTCTCTTGTTTAAGTGGACTTTCAGTGTTTGTTGAAAGTTTGGAAAGTTTATTTGAAAATCACAATGTTTCTTTCAATGTTGATTCTGGATTTTATTCGACTTTTCAAATATTGAATCCTAAAAAAGCAAGTATTGATCAATTGAAGTATACAAATAATAAAATACTTCAAAAATTAGCAATGTTAGAACAGCTGCCTCGTTGTTTAATTAATAGTCCTGTTTTATTTATCCCAGCACACTCTTTTAATACATGAGTTTGGTTATTCCTGGACACAAATAAAATGGATTTGTTGAGGAACAAGGCAGTTCCATACAGTACTGACTTATAGAAGGGTTGTCTTCTTCAGTTGTTTATATTCTTGTGTCAACCACATTGTTATTTAAAACAAAATTTGAATTTTGGAACAAACTTTCTGATTTTTTTTAAAAAACTTTCCTAAATTTAACAAACAGTTAAGGTTTACTTTATTACTAAGTGGAACTTATTTGAATATATGGATGAACTGAAGCAGTAAACTATACTTTTTTTTGCAATGTGAGATGGAGAAAATGAAAGAAAAGTGATTGTCATGTATGGCAAGGAAAACTACAACCAGACTACAGGATGATGTTCTTTGGAATATGTTTTGTGTTATAAGGAAGGAAAAACAATCAGCATTCAAAAGTATATATTAATTGTTCAGCAAAGCAATGTCATAATTTGGAATATTGAGGCTGCAGATAAGATCAGCAGTTCTTTGTGCTCTGTGTTAATCGATGCATAATTTGATAAGATTTGAATCAAAATTCAAGGACAGAGTTAACCATATTTTTAGTATTTATCGAAATTTGTGTGTGTTTCATCACACATGAGATAGGCAATGACTGAGATGCTTTTTATGTACCAAATTTTATAATTTGAATAAAAAGTTCTATATTTTAAAATTCTATATTTTAAAATTCTTTTTTGATTTAAATAATCTGACCTACTACTTTTTTAAGGGTGGAATTTTTTAACCTTTAATTTCATATTTTATTTCGAATCAGATTCAATTAAATTAATTAATTTTGAACTTTGGTTTGGATACTGAGATGAGAAGATGAATTAAAATTTTTATTGGCTGGTTGTGGTTAATAATTGTTTGGTAATTAAAATTAATTTGTTAGTTTTCTATGTTACATGTATTTGTTTTGCTTCAGTTCAGCATTGTTTTCAAATAGTTCCACTTTGTAATGGTGTGTTATAATAGTCGTAATAATGATATAAGCAAACAGGTTTACATGGCACTCGAATGTGTACTGGTCTTTTCAACGAGTATGTAAAGGTAAGTTTATACTTCAAAAAGGTCTGTTTTTAACCTGACAAGCATGCTGTCCAAAGTGAACTAAAACTCAATCTTCGTGACCTTTCAATGAAATTTCATATGTTCAAACGACAACTGCTACTACTGTATATATCTTTTGATGTTTGTGTTTGGCTTACTGTTGATACTATATAGAATTAAGATTCTAAGATTAAGGATTGTGTGGAAACTGTTTGTTCCTTGTGAGGACTTTGCGCAAAACTGTTTGTTTACTCTTGAGTTAGCAAAATATACCCTAAACTTATTTCGTGTTTTTCATTATGCAAAACAATAGATCAGCTTTTTTCCAAATGAAACGTTTGGTTTTGACCAATTCAAATAAAAGTGTAAAAAATAAAAAAATATTTTATGAACAATTGAAAGTTTGGTCAACCCTATTTTGTGTGTTTCTGTACATGGTCGCTACATGTTTTCCATCAAAAATATTTCCTGAAGTGTTTTTTCATAAGTGAAATTTAGGAGATGTTTGTTTTTAAAATAATGGATCAATGTCTATCATTTTAATGTATTTATCAGGGATGAGAAATGTACCATTTTCCTAAGCAAAGCAAATTGAAAGTGAATATTTGGTCGAAAAGATCAATCAGAAATGGAGAAATAACATTCTTTTTAATTTGTTGAACTGCATTTTCATCACTTGAATTAGTATGAACATTATATACAAACAATTCAAAGTTGTCAGGTTAAAAACTAGATATATGGCTCCGAAAGATCGCGGAATAATTTCAAATTCTTAAATATTTCTTGATTTGGCACTTGAAAGAAATATTCTTATAAATGTTCAATTGAGTATGGAACCAATGATCTAGTCGTAATGTTTCGATGTTAAAAATTTCATTTCCGAGTTTAATGAAGTATGCTGTCAATGCATTGTCAAAATGTTAAATAATTTGCTTCAAGCAATGCCAATGGAATATTTGTTGTCAAGCACAATTTCATGCCAACCACTTGACAACTGATATTGCATTACAACGAATGGATTTCACTTAGCATCTAAACATCACGATAAAATCATTATTTTCCATACTCAAGCGAATATTTTGGTCTGTTCAGTGTTCACCAAAAACAGTTAGTTTGTGTTAAAAAAAGCATGTTCGACTTTTGTCTTTGAGCCATATATTTTCTTTGTAAAACAACTTGGTGTTACGCTTTTGATTTCTCAATGTAAAGTTTATCATTGGAGTTGTTTTACAATATTTATTTTGAAGTATAAACATTAATCTTGAAAAGACCAGGTTCTCTTGTTTCCTCAAGAATTAACTTTTTTAATGTTAATTCGCGGGCAAACAAGTTTTTTTAATGTTGTGTTTTCACTTGTACTTATTCACTTGTGTTTAACACAATGTTAATTGTTCTCTTTGTGCCATGTTCTGTTTTCTTCTATTGTTATTATTTAAATAAGTATGCAGTGGTTGTTCTCTTTTTATTGGTATTCAATTTGTAATTACAATTCTTTTCAATAAATTGTCATTAATTATACAAGAGACTCCTTTTTAATTAAAAATTCAATTCCCATGGGAATTGAAAAAAAAAATGAAAAAAATTCTCCTTCCCCGGCCGGCTCCCCAAGTGCTACCTCCACTTCAAGCAGAAGTACTTCTACTATATACTGAGAAGTACTTCTACTTAAAGTAGAGGTAGCACTCGGAGAGCCAGCCGGGGTAGCGGGGCGAAGAGAAGACCAACCTAGCAAATGCTAAATAATGCAAATTGCTAAGTCGATCTTCTCTTGAGAGCAGCCACGCGCATACCTAGCAAATGTAAAACAACAAGCATTAGTAACAAATACTCGGCATGCAAATTTTGAATCCCATGGCCGAAATGACAAGTGCCCCCCACTGATTCCTACCAACTGCCTACCTGCCTCAGTCCTAAGCTGTCTGCCTCGGTCCTAAGCTACCTGCATTCCATTCGTAACTTCCGCTTTCCTCACCATCACACAGACACTCACAACTGCCCAACCTGCCACCAGCCCAAACTGCCCACCCTTAAAACTGAAGGAATTAAAATTTTGGTAAAGTATACATAATTAATTTAATTAATCGGATATTTTAGGCCAAACGTAAACAGATAAATTAAAGGTTGACGATCAGAAGACCTCGTGTACAAACAGGTGAGTTTCTTACTTGCCTCTACATCAAATTTGCATAGAAAAATATACGAGACCTCGAAATCCGGATTTTTGCTTCTATATGCTTTAGTAGCAGACTATAAGTTTAGTTAAATTTTGCTGATGTTAGGAAATTAGTCCTTTTGTTCAGAAAAGATATTTCGTCTTTAAATATGCTCTCAAAATGTTAATTCCTTTAGTTTAACCTAACCCCATTCATCCTATACACACGGCGCACACTCTCGCACTCCATACATTTAGCTAATAAATTACATTATAAACAAAAAAGCAAAATAAAAAGATAAATTACGTTATCACTAGCTGTCCTATAACCCACTTAGACTGAGTTTTGGATTGTGGTTCGAAACGTAAAACCTTAACTGAAAGGGCATGGGCTTGAGTTTTGTTAACTGGTCCGAAGTAAATACAAACCTTAAACTTACCTAAACCAAAGGCTCGGTTAAATAAGCATGAGAATGCATAGAAATTGAATTATTTTTAAAACCTTTTCATAAGAGTTGAAAATCGAAACGAAAATTACAATGTCGCTAATTTAGTGAGCATATAGTACTGTTTAGCTATATAGTTGAAACAGATCGAAACAGACTTAACCGCAATTCTCATACTCATTTAACCGCCTTGATGATCATTTGCATGGCACGTTGCAGCTGCTCTCAAATCACTTCCGCAATTTGCTTTAGCGCGCACAAACAAGATACTTATCATATTTAATCAAAGAGGATTCATTCATTATAAAGTCAAATTTCCACTATGAAATCAACATTAACATGAAAACAAAGCATATATATTCCCCTGGGAATTAAAAATACGAGAAAAAAATAAAATTGCAAAATACCTTTACGCTTGCGCAAAACAAAAAATTGGCATAAAAAACAAAGTATAATATATTCCCATGGGAATTAAACACACAAAAAGTAAATCCACCAATTGTTAACTTTTTAACGCTTGAAATAGAGTTGCTTGTTTTCATCATATGTTGATTTCATTGTGAATACAATACTTATCCCATAGTTAACAGAATATAAACATGGATAGGGACCGCATCTGACAGTGATTTTATTATCAATACCAACTGACGATGAAAAAGAGGAAATGCTTGGTGCTAGATTCCAAGCCATGTTTATTTTACATAACTATTATGGGTGACGCGGATTAATATTTTGTTTTCAGAAAATACTACAATCGGAAATATTCCAGGCAAGATTTAGTGCTTTTAAGGTATTGTTTGCTTCGATTTTTTATACAAACAGTTCTCTACTATCAATTTTGGAAACTTTTTGTTGTTTTAACAAAAAAATTGAAATTTACAATACAGACTCTAGCTCCGTCGCAAAAGCACTGCGTTATCGCGTTTTTGAAAGAAAGTTTTACCCAAACGTTCTACCTGATTTTGCGAACAATGATTTCTATATTCCGTAAATTGGAAAACAAAGTCGAAAAAAATTTTGGCAAATTCGTAGCATGCTTATTTACAATGAGAAATCATTGTATTCACTTAAATCCCCTTTGATCTTTAAATAAGTATTTTGTCTTTAACTAACTTACATTGGTAAAAATTTTCGCTACTTTCATATTAGCAATGTTGTTGTTTCTGATTGGTGCGAATCGTCATTCTTTTCTTGGCTCCATGCCATTCGTGAGTGGTTCTTTTTGGTCTTTTCATCATCTATTTTCATCACATAAACATTTCATCACTTCACCTTTTGAAATTAATAAAGTATCCATGAGTCCATGAAATAGGATCGAATCATGTTAAAGGTTGATTGATATTTGGTAGAAAAGAGACTTTTAAAATGTCTATATAAATTGCCAGGATTTTCTGTCAGATATCCAGTCCTCACAAAAAAAAAGACAAAAAATTGCCGTCAATATTTTAGGCTTCGGCGCCAATTCAACGGCATTTATTATCCCATAATCATATCAATTTTGAATTGCGTAGTATTTCATGTTTCAAATAATCATTTAATATTATTGATGTATATAATTAATAATGTCGATGATAGCCTAGACTTGGGCCCTTTATTCGGCAGATTTTGGTCAATTTTGGGCTAGGATTTGGTAAGTGTGACGTCACATGCTTCTGCCAATCCTCACCACCAAAGCGCCGAAACTAAAAATAGAAGGTCAAGGTCCAGGCTGACAGAGTGTTTCATGTTTTCATCTGACGTTACGGCAACCACACCATGTTGGAGGGTAATATCCGGGGGGGGGGGGCTAATAGGTAGGACGAATTTGTGCATGTTGCCATCATACAGTCCGCTATTATTACTTCTTGTTGAAACAACAGAAAGGTAGGAATTTTGTCTACACACGCGTCAAAATTGACGCGGTGAACAGATAAGAGACTCGGGGCGGGTAAATATTACATTTGATTTCCGAGCATTTTATTTGTTTTTTGGCCTAGTTTTGCTACTGAAAAATATTGTTATTTAATGCTTCGTTGGGAAGGAGGGAAACGTTTCCAACGGAAAATCGCGAATTTTCCTATCAAAAATACTTCGACAAGTGAACGAAGAAAGGTCCAGTATATTTTTGCGAAACAAGTTTACATTTTTGCGAATCTGCTGTTCACCAGAAACGGCCAAAAAAAACTCAAAAACTTTTAAAAGTTTTCCAATGCGCCAAAACTTATTGACCAGCGCGGACAAAATTTCTACCTGTTGAAACAACGCGAAATAATTAATGATCGTGCATGATATATCGAAACAACGTTTTGGAATTATAGTTGTTGATATAGGTATTTGTATGGTGTCGAGTACAATTTGGAAAAAAAATACAGGAGTGAGTTATTCAAAGACGATCAAAATTGCACGAGTCTGAAGTACGAGTGCAATTTGAAGTTTTTGAATAACTCACGAGTGTATGTTTTTCAATGCAATCCTACAAAGGACTAGTTATATTATTAGGATTGAAAAAGCGAGAAATTCCTGCATTCATGTATTTCAAAAGTTTTATAACATCACTTACATCTATACTAATCACTTTCGCATTTTCGTAATTGTTTTGTTGATCAGGCATGTCGACGTTCTGTTGATGGGTCCATGGTTGGTTGGTTGGTTAATCTAGTTATCTTCACTTCGCCTTTGTCTTCTCTCCGTACAAGCTCGTAGGATGTGGTTTGATGTAAAATTTCTTTTCCCTGAAGGATAAATAAACATTTTTTGAAAATGTTATTTTCTCAAAAAATTTTGAAATAGTTTTTTTTCCGTTTTTTTAATGAGAAACGATTAAAAATTCCTTGACTCATTTTTGATTTTCTCTTACCTTGATAAAAGTTGTGTTACTCTCATCTTGCATGGCGATGTTGTAGGATCTGTTGGTTGTAGGTCTTCATCTGAAATGAAAGGATATTTCCCGTCAGTAACAAAATAAATTGAATATTTCACTACACATGTTATAGAAAGATTTACTTAATATACTTTTAAAGATAGAAATGCTAAAATTTCAAAAGTACATAAACGTCAGGGTAACAATACGAACTGAGTAACAGTGGCGGATACCGGGAGACGCAGATGTAACAAAGCTGTAACAATAATTTTTTAAACACGAATTTTTTAGTTCTGAAGTTCATATTGGAATTCACAAGCCAATTTGTAAACATTTTGTACCCGATTGGTACCTGATTTAGAAGAAGCCAATTAAATGCGTAGTTTACAAACTGGTTTGTGAATCTCATTATGAACTTTTGAACTTCGCAGCGAACTTGCTAACTTCGCAACGAACGAAGTTCGGAACATTTGTGGTCAAAGTTTTATGGAATCTTCTGTAAAAATATTTAAATTATTGCATAAATATATTGCACCAGCAAAACTTACATCATTCACTGTATCTTTAAATCGTCGTTGCTTCTGTTTTGTCGGTTCTGTTCTTCATTTCTGTTGATGATCCATCATGATGCTCCGCTCAATTTACAGTGAACCACCATAAAAAATGGGGAAAAATTCAGTTAACAAGCGCAACGATAGGACTTGCAACGCTAAATTTGACTTGAGTTTAAATAAAATAATACTAAAACATAAATAACAGTGACAAACCGTACATTTGCTATCATCTTTGGATATAATCTTTGGATAGTTGTGACTTCTTTTGGTCGTCATTCTGTCGACGTCTTCTATCACTTTCTCATCTGCTTGTCCCTCTCTGCTCTCGCTTGCAATTGTGTCGTGCAGTTGTTGCCTTCATACACTCTACCGAAAAAATATACAATAAAAATTTTAGGAAAAAATTTAAAAAGAATGGCAAGAGGAAATTTTACGAAGTAGGGCAGATTTTTTGAACAATTGTTACTTGTTGAAAAGCAACTAGTATCATAGGCAACCCAGAAAATATATGTAGTCATGCACTTAAGATGCGTTAAAAACATTTAAAAATACGCCTAAAGTTCGCCTGACTTTGCTATGCTTACTCGCATGATTACGTCATTGTATTGTCATTTTGTATAATATATATCCTGAGGCTGGCAATTCTTTTATACAATACATTTACACACATTAAGTCAATACAGTCGCTTGAAACAACAAAAATTGCGCAAATTGCTGAAGAAAAAAATTAGATACAAAACGCCTTGGACATATTTTCTAAATTTGTTGATACTTTTTAGGGATGATAAAAGTTTAGAACCCTTCAATAAACTTTTATCGAAATTATGCTGTAGATAAGCAAATTGCTCAACAAACGTCATCATCGAAAAACCATCGACTTATTTCTTATCGGCTGCTGAAAAATCGGAAAATTGCGAAGAAAGTTCTTTGACTGCAGTATATTATATTCGGCACCCAACTCACCATCTTTCTTTCTCCACGGTTTATCTTGGCTTTGATAGATTCACTACAGGGAATTAAAAAAGTAGCTCATTAATTTTTAGATATCTTAAATAAAATAGCGACATTTTACAGATAAATTAAGGCTGTGTTTTGTAGAAAGAGGGAGGGGGACCTGTAATATAATTTCAGGGTGGTGAATTTTTATCTAACAGGGTTATATTTAGGAACCAATTTGCAATGGAACACTATACTGTATCATTTGATAATAATTATAATTTTGTGTATTGAAATGTATGCAATGAACGAGTTTTTATGTAAAAATTTTTTAAGAAAAATAGGATAAAATATTAAATGTGTTGGTAAAAAGTAAAAGAAGTAAAACATAATAGCTTTATACTTTAAGAGTAATTATATAATAACTTACAGGGTAACACATATAACATATTGTCGACTTCCAACACCATTGAAGCAGTTTCGTTTCATTTTCTTGATTGGAGAAGAAGACGTCCGCCATCTTGTCTTTGACCACCATGATTTAACATTGAACTTTCTCAATAATTTCTTCATCATTCCTCTTCCAATTTGGCCCAAAATTTAACAAAACGTCCATTATGGTCTCGTCGCAATTTCTGTAGCATTTAATTGACTTCATTTTTTTTATTTTGGCAGAAAATAAAGAATTTTTGGCGTGGTTTTGCTCGATTTTTTCAGATGTTTCGTTCCTCGAAGCCATGCTGTAACTGACGTCACAAAGCATTTGATTCACGGTATATATATCCCGTATGTACAAAATTGAATTTTCGGTATTCCTGTTTATATACGAAGCTTTAACTTAATTTCTAGCTTAAATTGAGGGTTTTTAGCCACAACTTTCAACTCAGATATTTCTTATATTTCTTTCCTTTATATTTCATTTTTTATTTCGCTCAAAAACCGCTCCTGAAGAGCGTTTGGATGTGTTTTTTTTATTTGCATGCTAATGTTTGCGGAAAGACATGTCCGATTTGTCGGTTGAGTTTAACTTTTCCTCCGTGGCCGAATGGTAACGGCAACTGTATTGGGAAAAGCCACGCCCTTTGGTGTTTGCTGTGGATCGTCCCTCGCTTGCGACAACACAGGGACGAACCTAAAGGGTGTGAGTGACTCTCGAAAACAGTTGCCGGGACCGATAGGCTACCGAAGGAACGTTTAAACCTTCGGTAAATTTCTTCTACTTAATCATTTACCTTATGCTTGCCAGCCGGGGACCTGCATTTCGGGGGCCACCCAAAACAACAGGCTGCCGTGCAAGAAGGGCAATGCAATTGCAGTGTAACACTACAACTGTACTGTCCTTCGTGCACGACAGCGAGTCGTTTTGGGCTAAACGACTAGATTTGTAGGACAAATCTAGTCGTTTTCCAAAAAAACGACTAGATTTGTCCAACTATATAGGGCCGACTTCGTCGCAATGATTGTGGTGCACTATTTTGTCATTGCTTCTGCGCAGTCGTTTCTTGTTGAATAAAGCTGTATATGGTACTGAAAAATGTCTTTGTAAAGGACCATTGCGTGGTTCTGGGTTAGATTCCCAGAGCATTTTATGTTCACATTTACAGCTTTCTTAACGCAACTTCATGCAAGCTATGGAGAAGCTAGCTTATGATGTTTATCATGTAACTTATCATGGCCGACATACCAATGACAGTAGTTTTATATAGAACAAAGTCATGGCTGTTTCTTCCACATGCAACGAAGCTTTAAATGACATTATCAACAGTGTAATCGATAGAAGTAATTTATGAGGCATTCGGTTTAAGATTCCCAGAGCATGTGTCCGCACCATTTCGCAACTTACGATACAACTTATTACGGACGATAAACTAATAATTGAGAACGAAGTGTGCCGAATGAAGCTAGAAGGTTTAATCTTTGTTTAGGAGGATAAGATAATATTCCGGAGCATGTTTCTTGTGATATTTAACCGGCCCAAATTACAATACTTGAGTTATCGAGCATGCAGTATAATATAGTCTATATTATACTGGTATAGTTAAATTTCAATATGCATGAACACACATTTTACTCGAGGCATTTAATAATGCAACTCCGTGTATACCATTTCGCAACTTACGATACAACTTATTACGGACGATAAACTAATAATTGAGAGCGAAGTGTAAATGAAGCTAGAAGGTTTAATCTTTGTATAGGAGGATAAGATAATATTCCGGAGCATGTTTCTTGTGATTTTTAACCGTGACAAATTACAATACTTGAGTTATCGAGCATACATGTATGCCTGTTTACCGCAAACTCTGTATTAGTATAGAAGTAAAGTTGAACATAGCTAAATTTCAAACTGAACAGTCGTGTTACTCCAGATGCTTATAAACTCAAATGTCTCATAACAGCTTTAGATACACATTACACCGTAGTTTATATAGTCTTTAAAGTAAAGTAAAGTAAAATAAAGTAAAGCTATACTATATAGCTATAGTTAAATTTCGATCTGAACACTTCATTTCTCTCCAGGTGTTTAGTTAACGCCGTTTGAATAAAACGAGTGTTCATATTGATTAATTTAACTATACCTGTATCGTCTAGCTTTACCTTGGTATTGTAATTTACCACTGCTAAATATCACAAGAAACATGCTCCGGTATATTAGCTTATCCTCCTATCCAAAGATTAAACCTTCTAGCTTCATTCACACTTCGTCCTCAATTATTAGTTTATCGTCCGTAATAAGTTGTATCGAGAGTATAAGTTGCGAAAAGGGTATAGACGGAGTTGCACAATTAAATGCCTCGAGCAAAAGGTGTGTTCATATTGAAATTTAACTATACTTATATAATATAGACTATATTATACTGCATGCTCGATAACTGAAGTATTGTAATTTGTCACGGTTAAATATCACAAGAAACATGCTCCGGAATATTATCTTACCCTCCTATACAAAGATTAAACCTTCTAGCTTCATTTACACTTCGCTCTCAATTACTAGTTTATCGTTCGTAATAAGTTGTATCGTAAGTTGCGAAATGGTATACACGGAGTTGCACTATATTAAACGCCTCGAGTAAAATGAGTGTTCATATTGAAATTTAACTATACCTATATAGTATAGACTATATTATACATGTTCGATAACTCAAGTATTGTAATTTGCGCCGGTTAAATATCACAAGAAACATGCTCAAAATTATTATCTTATCCTCCTATCCAAAGATTAAACCTTGTAGCCATTCGGCACACTTCGTTCTCAATTATTAGTTTATCGTCCGTAATAAGTTGTATCGTAAGTTACGAAATGGTGCGGACATGGTCTGGGAATCTTAAACCGAATGCCTCATAAATGACTTCTACCGAGGACACTGTTGATGTCATTTAAAGGACACTGTTAATGTCATTACAACAGTATTCGGTCAATTCATGGTACAGTAACAGTAACAGTAACTGTAACAGTAACAAACCTTGCGGTTTATAATACATTTCATCTTCTATATAAAACTACTGTCATTGGTATGTCGGCCATGATAAGTTACATCATAAGCTTCCCCATAGCTTGCATGGAGCTTTCTTAAAGCTGTAAATATGAACATAAAATGCTCTGGGAATCTAACCCCGAAACCAAGAATACATGGTCCTTTACAAAGACATTTTCAGTATCATATACAGCTTTATTCAACAAGAAACAACTGCGCAGAAGCAATGACAAAATAGTGCACCACAATCATTGCGACGAAGTCGGCCCTATATAGTTGGACAAATCTAGTCGTTTTTTGGAAAACGACTAGATTTGTCCTACAAATCTAGTCGTTTGGCCCAAAACGACTCGCTGTCGTGCACGAAGGACAGTGCAGTTGTAGTGTTACACTGCAATTGCATTGCCCTTCTTGCACGGCAGCCTGTTGTTTTGGGTGGCCCCCGAAATGCAGGTCCCCGGCTGGCAAGCATAAGGTAAATGATTAAGTAGAAGAAATTTACCGAAGGTTTAAACGTTCCTTCAGTAGCCTATCGGTCCCGGCAACTGTTTTCGAGAGTCACTCACACCCTTTAGGTTCGTCCCTGTGTTGTCGCAAGCGAGGGACGATCCACAGCAAACACCAAAGGGCGTGGCTTTTCCCAATACAGTTGCCGTTACCATTCGGCCACGGAGGAAAAGTTAAACTCAACCGACAAATCGGACATGTCTTTCCGCACACATTAGCATGCAAATAAAAAAAACACACCCAAACGCTCTTCAGGAGCGGTTTTTGAGCGAAATAAAAAATGAAATATAAAGGAAAGAAATATAAGAAATATCTGAGTTGAAAGTTGTGGCTAAAAACCCTCAATTTAAGCTAGAAATTAAGTTAAAGCTTCGTAAACAGGAATACCGAAAATTCAATTTTGTACATACGGGATATATATACCATGAATCAAATGCTTTGTGACGTCAGTTACAGCATGGCTTCGAGCAACGACACATCTGAAAAATCGGGGAAAGCCACGCCAAAATTCTTTATTTTCTGCCAAAATAAAAAAAAAGAAGTCAATTAAATGCTACAGAAATTGCGACGAGACCATAATGGACGTTTTGTTAAATTTTGGGCCAAATTGGAAGAGAAATGATGAAGAAATTATTGAGAAATTTCAATGTTAAATCATGGTGGTCAATGACAAGATGGCGGACGTCTTCTTCTCCAATCAAGAAAATGAAACGAAACTGCTTCAATGATGTTGGAAGTCAACAATATTTTATATGTGTTACCCTGTAAGTTATTATGTAACTACTCTTAATGTATAAAGCTATTATGTTTGACTTCTTTTACTTTTTACCAACACATTTAATATTTTATCCTATTTTTCTTAAAAAATGTTACAAAAAAATTCGTTCATTGCATACATTTCAATACACAACATAATAATTATTATCAAATGATACAGTATAGTGTTCCATTGCACATTTTTTCCTAAATATAACCTTGCATGTTAGATAAAAATTCACCCCCCCCCCCTGAAATTATATTACAGGTCCCCCTCTCCTTTTCTACAAAACACAGCCTTAATTTATCTGTAAAAATGTCGCTATTTTATTTAAGATGTCTAAACATTAACGAGCTATTTTTTAATTCCCGTAGTGAGTCTATCAAAGCCAAGATAAACCGTGGCTAAAGAAACTAAAACAGCAGATGGTGAGTTGGGTTTTTTTCTGGTAAATTAATTTACGCGATATATTGCATCTGACTTTAGAAGTTGATGGATGAAAATTAAAAAGTCATTGTCAACCACAATGCATTGCGCGCCCAAACCTGCTTGGCGGCCATTTTAATGGCGGAATAATAGATGTTTCGGTTTTCAATCCATAATATTACTACCATCCTGTGGTTATACTTTTTTATACTAAAATTGCACCAAAGAAATGTTTATAATCTTCATTTGTTGCTATTTCTCACTTCCAAAGGTAAAGATGTAAACAAATGCATTCTGGTTGGCAATGACTCTTAATTACACGGCGGCTTGAAGATATGACTTTTATCTTCGAGTGATGAAAACAATATTTTACGAACGAGCGCAGCGAGTGAGTAAAATATTGTTTTTAACACGAGAAATCTTCACTAGTGAAGATATGGATCTTCACTAGTGAAAATATGGAAAATATCTCACTGTGTATTTTTCAGTATCTCACTCTCTACTATATATAATAAAGTATAATATCCTAAGGCTGCGTCAACTCTTTCAAACATTAATACGGTCGCTTGAAACAACAAAAGTTACGCAAATTTCTGAAGAAAAACTCAGGCACAAAAACCCTGGATATATTTTCTAAATTTATTAATACTCTTCAGTTAGAATTTAAAAAAGTTTAAAAGTGCTTAAATTTCTTCAGTAAAAAGTTTTCATCGAAATTTTGCTGCAGATAGCTGGGATGCAAATTGCTCGACAAACGTCGTCATCAGAAAAACCATCGGCTTATTTCTTATTGGCTGCTGAACAATGGGAAAATTAGTCCCAATATAATATACTGCAGTCAAAGAACTTTCTTAGGAATTTTCCCATTAGGAACTTTCTTAGGAATTTTCCTAAGAAATAAGCCGACGGTTTTTCGATGATGACGTTTGTCGAGCAATTTGCATATCTACAGCATAATTTCGATAAAAACTTTATCGAAGGAGTTCAAGCACTACTAAACTTTTCATCTCTAAAAAGTATTAACAAATTTAGAAAATATGTCCAACGTGTTTCGTATCTGATTTTTTCTTCAGCAGTTCGCTATTTTTGTTGTTTCAAGCGAATGTATTGAATTAATGTGTGTAAATGTCATGTATGAAAGAGTTGCCAGCATCTTATTTTATTAACTGTGGTCAGCCTCAGGATACATATTATACAAAATGACAATACAATGACGTAATCATGCGAATGTATATAGCAAAGTCAGGCGACCCTTAGGCGTATTTTTAAGTGAATACATGTATTTTCTGGGTTGCCTATGATACTAGTTGCTTTTCAACAAGTAACAATTGTTCAAAATATCTGCCTTACTTCGTAAAATTTCCTCTTGCCATTCTTTTTAAATTCTTTCCTAAAATTTTTATTGTAATTTTTATTGTATAGAGTGATATAAAGGCAACAACTGCACGACACAATTAGAGCGAAAGCAGAGAGGAACAAGCAGATGAGAAAGTGGTAGAAGACGTCGACAGAATGACGACCAAAAGAAGCCACAACTATCCAAAGATGATAACAAATGTACGATTTGTTACTGTTATTTATGTTATAGACAATTTTTGGCTATTTTTTATTTGTTACTCATTAGGTATGCCACTGCATTTTATTTTCACCCAGATTTTGTATTTTTTTTTATTTACCACGTTAAGTTTAGTACTATTTTATTTAAAACTGAAGTCAAATTTAGTGTTGCAAGTCCATTTGCAAGTCCTATCGTTGCGCTTGTTAACTGAATTTTTCCCCATTTTTTATGGTGGTTCACTGTAAATTGAGCGGAGCATGCATGATGGATCATCAACAGAAATGAAGAACAGAGACCGACAAAACAGAAGCAACGACGATTTAAAGATACAGTGAATGATGTAAGTTTTGCTGGTGCAATGTTTATGCAATAGCTTAAATATTTTTACATAAAACTTTGACCACAAATGTTCCGAACTTCGTTCGTTGCGAAGTTAGCAAGTTCGCTGCGAAGTTCAAAAGTTCATAATGAGATTCACAAACCAGTTTGTAAACTACGCATTTAATTGGCTTCTTCTAAATCAGGTACCAATCAGGTACAAAATGTTTACAAATTGGCTTGTGAATTCCAATATGCACTTCAGAACTGAAAAATTCGGAATTAAAAAATTATTGTTACAGCTTTGTTACACCTGCGCCTCCCAGTATCCGCCACTGTTACTCAGTTCGTCCTTTATTTCTGTGTGAATGCTACACCCTGCTGTTTATGTACTTTTGAAATTTTAGCATTTCTATCTTTAAAAGTATATTAAGTAAATGTTTTTATGACATATGTAGTGACTGAATATTCAATTTATTTTGTTACTTTGAAATATCCTTTCATTTCAGATGAAGACCTACAACCAACAGATCCTACAACACCGCCATGCAAGATGAGAGTAACACAACTTTTATCAAGGTAAGAGAAAATCAAAAATGAGTCCAGGAATTTTTAATCGTTTCTCATTAATTAAAAAACGAAAAAAAACTATTTCAAAATTTTTTGATAAAATAACATTTTCAAAAAAATGTTTATCTATCCTTCAGGGAAAAGAAATTTTACATCAAACCACATCCTACGAGCTTGTACGGAGAGAAGACAAAAGCGAAGTGAAAATAGCTAGATCAACCAACCAACCATGGACCCATCAACAGAACGTCGACATGCCTGATCAACAAAACAATTACGAAAATGCAAAAGTGATTTGTATAGATGTAAGTGATGTTATAAAACTTCTGAAATACATGAATGCAGGAATTTCTCGCTTTTTCAATCCTAATAATATAACTATAGTCTTTTGTAGGATTGCATTGAAACACATACACTCGTGAGTTTTTCAAAAACTTCAAATTGCACTCGTACTTCAGACTTGTGCAATTTTTGATCGTCTTTGAATAACTCACTCGTGCATTTTTTTTTTCAAATTGTACTCGAAACCGTACAAATACCTATACCAACAACTATAATTCCAAAACGTTGTTTCGATATATCATGTTGTTTCAACAGGTAGGAGTTTTGTCCGCGCTGGTCAATAAGTTTTGGCGCATTCGAAAAGTTCTTTTAAACGTTTTTGAGTTCTTTTCTGGCCGTTTCTGGTGAACAGCAGATTCGCAAAAATGTAATCTTGTTTCGTTCACTTGTCGAAGTATTTTTGATAGGAAAATTCGCGATTTTCCGTTGGAAACGCTTCCCTCCTTCCCAACGAACATTAAATAATAATATTTTTTCAGTAGAAAAACTAGGCCAAAAAAACAAATAAAATGCTCAAAAATCAAATGTAATATTTACCCGTCCCGAGTCTCTTATCTGTTCACCGCGTTAATTTTGGACCCGTTGGATATTACCCTCCAACATGGTGTGGTTGCCGTAAACGTCGCATGAAAACACCTGTGATCAGCCTGGACCTTGACCTTCTATTTTTAATTTCGGCGCTTTGGGGGCGAGGCGGAGGATTGGCAGAAGCATGTGACGTCACACTTACCAAATGCTAGCCCAAGATTGACCAAAACTTGCCGAGTAAAGGGCCTAAGTCTAGGCTACCATCGACATTATTAATTATATACATCAATAATATTAAATGATCATTTGAAACTTGAAATACTACGCAATTCAAAATTGTTATTAGATAGCTTAAGACATACGACGTCGACGTCAGCTAGGACGTCAGGGCTAAGCAGAGGACTGGGACTACATTAGAACGACATCCTAGTCCCACTCCTCTGCATAGCCCTGACGTCTTAGCTGACGTCGACGTCGTAGATCTTAAGCTATCTATTATGGGATAATAAATGCCGTTGAATTGGCGCCGAAGCCTAAAATATCGACGGCAATTTTTTGTCTACGATAATTTGGTAAAATTGTGAGGACTGGATATCTGATAGAAAATCCTAACAATTTACATCGACATCAAGTCTCTTTTCTACCAAATATCACTCAAGTCTTTAACATGATTCGATCCTATTTCATGGACTCATGGATACTTTTTTAATTTCAAAAGGTGAAGTGATGAAATGTTTATGTGAATCGTGATGAAATGTTTATGTGATGAAAAGAGATGATGAAAAGACCAAAAAGAACCACTCACGAATGGCATGGAGCCGAGAAAAGAATGACGATTCACAACAATCAGAAACCACAACATTGCTAATATGAAAGTAGCGAAAATTTTTACCAATGTAAGTTAGTTAAAGACAAAATACTTATTTAAAAATCAAAGGGGATTTAAGTGAATACAATGATTTTCTCTCTGAATTAAGCATGCTACGAGTTTGCCAAATTTTTCGACTTTGTTTTCCAATTTACGGAGTATAAAAATAATTGTCCTCAAAATCAGGTAAAACGTTTGGGTGAAACTTTCTTTCAAAAACGCGATAACGCAGTGTTTATGCGACGAGCTAGAGTCTGTATGGTAACGTATCATTTCAAAATTTTTGTTAAAACAACAAAAAGTTTGCAAAATTGATAGTAGAGAACTGTTTGTATAAAAAAGATCGAAGCAAACAATACTTTAAAAGCACTAAATCTTGCCTGGAATATTTCCGATTGCAGTATTTTCTGAAAACAAAAGATTAATCCGCGTCATCCATAGTAGTTGATGTAAAATAAACATGGCTTGGAATCTAGCACCAAGCATTTCCTCTTTTTCATCGTCAGTTGGTATTGATAACAAAATCACTGTCAGATGCGGTCCCTATCCATCTTTATATTCTGTTAACTATGGGATAAGTCTTGTATTCACAATGAAATCAACATACGATGAAAACAAGCAACCCTATTTCAAGCGTTAAAAAGTTAATATATTTGGTGGATTTACATTTCGTGTGTTTAATTCCCATGGGAATATATTATACTTTGTTTTTATGCCAATTTTTTTGTTTTGCGCAAGCGTAATGGTATTTTGCAATTTTATTTTTTTCCCGTATTTTTAATTCCCAGGGGAATATATATGCTTTGTTTTCATGTTGATGTTGATTTTATAGTGGAAATTTGACTTTATAATGAATGCATGAATCCTCTTTGATTAAATATAAGTATCTTGTTTGTGCGCGCTAAAGCAAATTACGGAAGTGGTTTGAGAGCAGCTGCAACGTGCCATGCAAATGATCGTCAAGGCGGTTAAATGAGTATGAGAATTGCGGTTAAGTTTGTTTCGATCTGTTTGAACTATATAGATAAACATTAAACAGTACTATATGCCCACTAAATTAGCGACATTGTAATTTTCGTTTCGATTTTCAACTCTTATGAAAAAGTTTTAAAAATAATTCTATGCATTCTCATGCTTATTTAATCGAGCCTTTGGTTTAGGTAAGTTCAAGGTTTGTATTTACTTCGGACCAGTTAACAAAACTCAAGCCCATGCCCTTTCAGTTAAGATTTTACGTTTCGAACCAGAATCCAAAACTCAGTCTAAGTGGGTTATAGGACAGCTAGTGATAATGTAATTTATCTTTTTATTTTGCTTTTTTGTTTATAACGTAATTTATTAGCTAAATGTATGGAGTGCGAGAGTGTGCGCCGTGTGTATAGGATGCATGGGGTTAGGTTAAACTAAAGGAATTAAAATTTTGAGAGAATATTTAAAGGGAAAATATCTTTTGTGAACAAAAGGACTAATTTCCTAACATCAGCAAAATTTAACTAAACTTATAGTCTGCTAATAAAGCATATAGAAGGAAATATCCGGATTTCGAGGTCTCGTATATTTTTCTATGCAAATTGCATGTATAGAGGCAAGTAAGAAACTCACCTGTTTGTATACGAGGTCTTTCTTCTGATCGTCAACCTTTAATTTATCTGTTTACGTTTGGCCTAAAATATCCGATTAATTAAATGAATTATGTATACTTTACCAAAATTTTAATTCCTTCAGTTTTAAGGGTGGGCAGTTTGGGCTGGTGGCAGGTTGGGCAGTTGTGAGTGTCTGTGTGATGGCGAGGAAAGCGGAAGTTACGAATGGAATGCAGGTAGCTTAGGACCGAGGCAGACAGCTTAGGACTGAGGCAGACAGCTTAGGACTGAGGCAGGTAGGCAGTTGGTAGGAATCAGTGGGGGGCACTTGTCATTTCGGCCATGGGATTCAAAATTTGCATGTCGAGTATTTGTTACTAATGCTTGTTGATTTACATTTGCTAGGTATGCGCGTGGCTGCTCTCAAGAGAAGATCGACTTAGCAATTTGCATTACTTTGCATTTGCAAGGTTGGTCTTCTCTTCGCCCCGCTACCCCGGCTGGCTCTCCGAGTGCTACCTCTACTTTAAGTAGAAGTACTTTTACTATATAGTAGAAGTACTTCTGCTTGAAGTAGAGGTGGCACTTGGGGAGCCGGCCGGGGTAGGGGAATTTTTTTTATTTTTTTTTCAATTCCCATGGGAATTGAATTTTTAATTAAAAAGGAGTCTCTTGTATAATTAATGAACAATTTATTGAAAAGAATTGTAATTACAAATTGAATAACAATAAAGAGAGAACAACCACTGCACACTTATTTAAATAACAATAGAAGAAAACAGAACATGGCACAAAGAGAACAATTAACATTGTGTTCAACACAAGTGAATAAGCACAAGTGAAAACACAACATTAAAAGACTTGTTTGCCCGCGAATTAACAAAAAAGTTAATTCTTGAGGAAACAAGAGAACCTGGTCTTTTAAAGATAAATGTTTATACTTCAAAATAAATATTGTAAAACAACTCTAGTGATAAATTTTACGAGTTTGACGGAGAAATCGAAAGAGTAACACCAGGTTGTTTTACAAAGAAAATATATGGCTCAAAGACAAAGTAAATCGAACATGCTTTTACTTTTTTGAATACAACTAACTGTTTTTGGTAAACTGACCCAAAATTTTCGCTTGAGTATGGAAAATAATGATTTTATCGCGATGTTTAGATGCGAAGTGAAGTCCATTCGTTGTAATCGGACTGGGAGATCAGTTGTCAAGTGATTGTCGTCGACAACAGGAAGACATTGTCGTCGACAACAAATTCCTTTGCATGAAGCAAAGTCATTTTTTAGTCGAAAAGCCACCTTAAGTATTGTTGACATTTATTGTCGCTATTTGACATGCCGACAACGGCATGCATGCGTCTTCCGGTGTGCGGAAGTACTCATACTCACAGATACTGCATGTAAGATACAGCCAAACGAATCTCCGTGGAGTCCCCACTTAAGGTGGCTTTTCGACTAAATAATGACTGTAGGGCCCCTTTAAAAATTTGACAATGCATTGACAGCATACTTCATTAACTCAGAAATGATATGTTTTAAACATCGAAGCATTACGACTAGATCATTGGTTCCATACTCAATTGAACATATATAAGAACATTTCTTTCAAGTGCCAAATCAAGAATTTAAGAATTTTAAATTATCCTGGTCTTTCGGAGCCATATATCTTTGAGCGTCGTTTTTAACCTGACAACTTTGAATTGATTATATATAATGTTAATACTAATTCAAGTGATGAAAATGCAGTTCAACAAAATTTTAAAAGAATGTTATTTCTCCAATTCTGATTGATTTTTGGAACAAAAAACAGTTTCAATTTGCTTTGCTTAAAATGGTACATTTCTCGTCCCTCGATAAATACAATAAAATGATACACATTGATCCACTATTTTACAAACAAACATGCACATTCACTTAGGAAAAAGTTCTCCCGTTTTATATTATTTATATATTAAAAAAGCACTTTCAAATGTTCCTAAAATATTTTTCTTATTTTTTACACTTATTTATATTGGTCAAAACCAAAATGGAAATTTTCAATTGGAAAAGAGCTTATGGTTGTGCATAATGAAAAACAGTAAATAACTTTTGGGTATATGTTGCTGAATCAAAACATGGATTGTAAAATAACTTGGATTGTAATTTATAATTTATTTTATTATCCATCAAAAGTAGATAAACAGTTTTGCTCAAAGTCCTTACAAAGAACAATCAGTTTCCATCCTTAGTTTTAGAATCTCTCTCAACAAACAAAATATAAAATTGCATTCTCATCAATTTCTAGTATCAACAGCAAACCAAACACAAACATCAAAATTTACAGTAGTAGCAGTTGTCGATTGAACATATGAAATTTTGTTGAAAGGTCATAAAGATTGAGTTTTAGTTAATTCTGGACAGCATTCTTGTCAGGTTAAAAACAGACATTTTTGAAGTATAAACTTACCTTTACATACTCGGTGAAAAGACCGGTAAATGTTCCAGTGCCATGTGAACCTGTTTGCTTATATTATTATTATGACTATTATAACACACCATTACAAAGTGGAACTATTTCAAAAGAATGTTAAACTGAAGCAAAAGAAATACATGTAACATAGAAAAAAAGATTTTAATTGCCAAACAATTATTAACCACAACCAGCCAATAAAAAAATTAAAAATAAATCTCATTTCGGTACCCAAACCAAAGTCCAATTGAATAAAATATGAAATTGAAGTTTATAATTAATAAAAAAAATAGAATTTTAAAAATAGAATTTTAAAATATAGAACTTTTTATTCAGATTACAAAATTTGGTACACGAAATGCATCTCAGTCACTGCCTATCTTGTGTGAATAAATGTGAAATAACACACATAAATAAAAACAAATGTGAAATAATAAATGTGACGAACAGTAAATGTGTGTATTTTTTATGAAATAATAAATGTGATGATTTATTCTTTTTAATAATAAATGTGATGAAACAGACACAAATTTTTGATGAATACTAAAAATATTTCGTGCTTGAAGTTTGATTCAAATCTTATCAAATTAAGCATTGATTAACACCTAGCACAAAGAACTGTTGATCTTATCTTCAGTCTCAATGTTCCAAATTATTGGATTGCTTTACCAAACAATTAATATATAATGCCAATTGTTTTTCCTTCCCTATAATACACAAAACATATTCCAAACAACATCATCCTGTAGTCTGGTTGTGGTTTTCCTTGTCATGCATGACAATCAATTTTCTTTCAATTTCTTTATCTCACATAACCCCCCACCCCCCCAAAAAAAAAATAATTAAGTATAGTTTGCTTCTTCAGTTCATCCATATTCCAATAAGTTCCACTTTGTAATGAAGTAAAGACAATATCCTAGCTTATTTCGACCTTAATTGTTTGTTTTAAAGTTGGAAAAGTTTTTTTTAAATCACAAAGTTTGTTTTTAGAAATTCAAATTTTGTTGAAAACCACAATATGATAAGGCACAAGAATAAAAAAACAACTGAAGAACACAACCCTCCTATAAGTCAGTACTGTATAGAACTGCCTTATTCCTCAACAAATCCATTTCATTTGTATCCAGGAATAATCAAACTCATGTATTAAGAGTGTGCTGGGATAAATAAGACAGGATTATTAAACAACAAAGCAGTTCTAACAGTGCTAATTGTAAAAGTGTTGTATACTTCAATTGATCACTAATTGCTTTTTGTAAGATTCAATATTGAACACTCGAATAACATTCAGAATTAACATTGAAAGAAACACTGTGATTTTTAAATAAACTTTCCAAACTTTCAACAAACACAAAAGTCCACTTAAACAAGAGAAGATTGAGATGGAACATAAGCTTACTGTTTTCACAATGCAATTGGACAAGTTCAAAACAGAAATTATGATGAGACAAATGTTCATCAATGTTCTTTTAATCATTTAATGAAAACATACTCCAAATTTAATACGAAATATGAAAGATGACTATAAGAAAATACTCAATCCTGAGTTAAAACTAATAAAGTCACATGTCTTATTTGTAAATAACCACTTTGGTTTGTAATAAAAACCACCTCAATCTTCTAAATGTTTAACGGATGTAACAAAGCCAAATACTGACAAACTTTTCATTTTTTTAAATTTGACAAAACCTTTGGAAATATGCTGAAACAACTATGTTCTCAGATAGAACACAGATAAACACAAATTTATATATTCTGCACTTTAAGATTTAGCTATTGTGCCAAACAGAAAAAAAATGCATATCCAAACCAAATCATCACTGTTAAACAAAATTTTTGACAGTTTGTCAATTTCTGGCTTGCTCATGAAATGCTTATATGCTTTGAAAATTATAGACTTTCTGTGATCAGTGGCAACACAAAACTTAATCAAGTACCGTAATTGAGGAACCACAAAACCAAAATTTTCCAAATTAATACAAGTCGAAATAGTGCTGTAATAATAGAATAAAAAGAGTGCAACTATTGTCCACTTGCCATTTTTAGGTATAAAGATTGTGTTTATTATTTTTGTTGTATTTTGTGTCATAAGTATTATGATCATGCTATTTTTGCAATATTCTGGAATTTTTGAAACTATTGATCACAGGTAATCATATAATGTTCAAAACATTTCATGTAAGATAAGACAGGAAAATATTAAGACCTTTTATATACTTTCCAATGACGGTGTCCATTTTTGTGATCAAGACCACTTCAGCCAACAACTGGAGACATTCTTTAAAATTGCAACACACATCTAGAAAATTAAAAAACTCACTATTGAGAACATGAAACAAATTAATATATTACAAAGAAAATTGTTCAAGAAATACAAGGAGGTTAGAAATAATTAGAAGAAAAATCATTTACCTCTTATTTAGGATCTTGGAATGTGTCCATTTTTCATAATTATGAGGTCTTGCAACATTCTTGGAATTTGCACTGTACATCTACAAAATTTATGAGAATTTTACTGATGGTGTGAATAACTAGGCTAGCGAGATGAAACATCAGAGTCTGAAACAAAACAATATCCTGTGGTTCCGTTTTCCAGTCAACACTATTTTCTTTCCTCTTTTTTTTTTCTAGATATGGTTGGGAAACAAGCCATAAAATAATAAAATATGCGGTTCAGGTTTCATATTCTGAAGAGCACAAATTTTCTTCAATATTTTTTGGCTAATTGACATTGGTCAGCAATTGCTGTGATCAGTTGGCATTGCCGTAATTGCTGACCAATGTCAAGCCATTTGAAAAATATTGAAGAAAATTTGTGCTCGTCAGAATATGAAACCTGAACCGCATATTTTATTATTTTTTGTAATGTCCTATTTTTGTTGTTTGCTTTATGACGAAACTAGATGCCAAAAATACTGTCTGTTGCCCACAGTTAATCTTGCTTCTTGAAATGTTTATATGTTGTGGCAATATGCAAACTGATCACGGCAATTGCTGACCAATGTCAAGCCAAGGAATATTTGAAGAAAATTTGTTTTATTCGACCTACCTATCCTACTTTCTTCAGGATATGAAACCTGAACCGCATATTTTTTGTAATATTCAAAATTTATCAGAAAAATGCCGACAAATACCCCTTTCATAATCACGTCACATATACGCCTTGGTCTTGGAGCCTCGTTCTCATTAGTAACTTAATCTTATTAGCACGCTTACAGAGAAGCGCCAGCTACCTATGACCGCACCTGCCTGCAGTGACGTCAAGAAACACAATTATTCTGGATTTTGCCTTTATATTGTAGCAATTTTCACTTAAAAATAGTTTTATTTGTAACTAATTAACTTTGTTTTGCAAGCAAGAATCAAATACGTTGTAATGTTGCTAAAGCAAGGCTTTTTCTGCATATTAATGATCGCAAGATTGAAATGTACAAGCTGATGAAATTATATTCGTCCCACCAAGCACCTCGTCTCTGTATACGGCATTTATATAAACATTTTCGGCAAAAACTCAGAGATAACAACTTTTTTCGACAACTTAAACAATCCTAGATCTTAGTTAGTCTTTTTACTCACTTGGTCGACAATAATTTTGAATTAAAACACAGTTTATTAAAGTTTGACAATCGCCCATAATATTTTAAGCCAACACGTGCAAAGCAAAAGCACAAACTTTATGTCGAAATATCGCATTAAATTCCGGCTCAATGTCCTAAATTTCCACCTATATTGGTAATCTAAGTACTCTACTACAAGGATTGATATTAAATAAAGCATATTACCTTCCAATAAAGGTAAGTTTGATGAAACAAATGTCCTCCATTTTTCTTCCTTGCTTCTGCACATTCTTCACCACTAAAAAATTTAAAATTCGGAAATGCCCGGGAGACCGTCGGGATCTCGGCGCTGCACGATGCAAGTCGATAAATTCCGAGCTATTTTAAAATTACAGGGGGGTCGGCTATCTTTAAAATAGGGAACGGGGGAAATGCGGAATGAGGGAATGCGGGAAATGTGAAAATCTACAACTTCATTAACTTATGACACGCATTAATGATTAAAACGTATGCCATGAATGTCTCGTGTTGTTTCAGAGTATACTTTTAACTCGTTTCGTTTTTTAGTGATTTTCTCAACTGTCAAAGCATATACTGACAAAAAACCTTGAAAGAAGTTATCTTAAAATATCAGTTTATTAAAAAAAGTCAGGACTCAAGCTAGCTTTTGTTCCATATATTTAATATAATTTGGTATTGTATGAACATTATAATTAAGCCAAAAAGGTGTAAAAATAGTTTTTATAAGCATAAGGCAATGTACAGTGTTGTCTCTGTGTGGACAGGGCTGTACGCAGGATTTTTTCTCTGGGCGGGGGAATGGCAGTTGCCTCCCCCCCCCCCCGCTATGTACGGCCCTGCGTCAGGATTGGTAAGTTAGATGAATAATTAGGCCAAATCGTCATTAGCGCAGTTTATAAAACAAAGAAAACAAAGGCCTAGTGCGAGGTGTTTGGCCTAATTATTCAGCAAACCTACCAACCCTGCCCTGAGTGTGTGGAGACCGTTACCATTTTGTGGTGTAAAAAGGTAATGGGACAAGTACTGGTGTAAGACATTGTGCAGCCTAAATAATTTGAGGACCAGTATTGAAAAGGAGTAGGAAAGTATTAAAAAATTGGGGTCGCCCCTTGTCACTATTTTTCAGTCCGAAGCCACCACCAATTCGGGAAAAAAATAGTTGTACCGCCGGCCTCCATTTTCTCTCCCACCGCCCCCCCTCCCCCCCCTCTTATCAATGACCGGTCTCTAATAAGCGATCTAAATAAACCTGGACAGAGTTTCAGTAAAAACAGTATGTCATTTTGTAAAGATGAGAATCAAGTCTCTTAATCACAATTTCTTCTTTACATCTTTGCAGCATGCAAATATAGTATACAATACAAATATTAAACAGAGACAAATATTAAAGCTGGTTTAAACGATCAATATTCTCCAAATGTGTGAAGTGCTGTCCAACATTTTATCCTTTTTTGGGCGTAGATACATGCAAGTCATTAAAAAACGTTTAGTTTTATATTAAGCGAAATTATTAGGAGTCTATAGGAAACGTTGATTGTCTAAACCAGCTCAGTTTACTAAACATACTTCAAGTCTTATATAGTTTATATTTGAAATACTACGAAATTTCCAGTGCAAATTTCAATTAAGTGTTCTAATTAAGTGTTCTAATTAAGTGTTCTAATTAAGTGTACTAATTAAGTGTACTAATTAAGTGTACTAATTAAGCCATTAATATAGTCCATTGCTCGACGTTAAGCTCAAGTTCTTAAAGGCTTGAACTGTTATATTCGGCTGATTGGTTTCTTCGAGACTGTACCACCACGGGAATTAAGGATTTTTACCTAGAAAAACATACAAGATGTTAATTGAAACGTTTAAACTTTAAACATTTTGCGCTCATGCACAATACCAAATTCAAATACGATATTTTGATTCTTGATACGGTATTTTGTGACTTCAGGACTGCATAACGTCTGCAAGATAATAAACACAGTATTAAAGGTTGAAACGTTAAAAGCGGCCTATATACAGATTACAGGGGATAACTATTTTTATATTACAAGTGAATACACCATAGACAGAGTTTTTTTAAATTTTATTTGTATTTTTAAAAACTATAACATGACAAAACGCTAAGATAATAAGTGAAGTAAACGTATATATACTGGGTGAACACATTTTACAAAAACATATTTCACCATTGAACTAGAAAAGTAAGTCCTTCCTGAGCTTCCAATTGCAAACTAGTAGTTCATGAACGTATAAGCTTTGCAGCACTAACAATATATTTTCAATGAGCTAGTAACCTTAATTTACTAACAATTTTCTGTATATTCTATATGTTCATATTTGAACCTAAATTCTTCTTGGTCCTTGGACACTTCCACAGTTTATACTAGCCGTCTTCATAACTTGCTTGTTTACCATCTGAAATAAAAACTTTTGAAAAAGTTAGGCATTTTCATGTGTAGACGCACTACATTAATTAAGAGGGTATTCTTATAGTAAAGAAATAAAACATCAGACTTTTGTTTCCCCTACTTTTATTCATCTAAATATTATTTTACTACTATTTTACAAGTGAAATTGATACAATGCATATAAAACTATAATATATATCCAATTTAACTTCCCGACATTATATCCACCTTTTTGTTAGAAACAGAAGAACCATCGGTTCTTCGTTTGAACTTTCATGGATTTCTTGTAGTATATTCATGCTGGTTTCGCCAACTATATAATACATACATAGCCTAGTTATACATACTTATGTTATTACTCTTATTACATGTTTAATTAAGAATTCATGTCCTCTGAAAGTAGAGCTTCTTTTTTGCACTTCATATACTCCTTCAATTTCTTAGTACCTGAAAGAGAACTTGAGAAAAAGTCGGTTTAAAAATCAAAAATATTATGTGGCAAAATTTCCAAATTTATATCGCTTCGTTGGAAATCTGCTACATTCTACGGTATACTACTTCGTATAAAATAAAGAAAGCACCAAGGCCAAAAAATTAGTCTTTATTCAATATTTTATTTTTCTATATTACAAGCGTACTCAATAGAAGAGAATTATTTATTAAATATCTATTTATCACCAAATAATTAGGGTTTTATACCTTTATTTATTTAAGAAACAATATCTATTACATTGTCTTTAAACTATAAGTTCTTTTTTAACTTTGAAACTTGGTCTTGTCATCATGTAGAATCGATGCTCAATTGCTAAACCATGCATTATCGTATTATTTAAGTATACTACGTACAAGTTTAATAAAAAAAACTAAAGGTTTTCTGGAGACTCTTTAACGCTTCTCTTGCTTGACATTTTGAAGTATTTCCGATCTGAAAGAGACCTTCAGAAAATAATCAGTTTAAGTCAAAATATTTTGTGGCAAATTTCCCAGATTTTATATATCGCTTCTGGGGATGGGAAAGATGCCACATTCTACATATTGCTTCTAATTAGAGAAGAAGACACCGAGCACAACGCCGTTAAGTTCTTTTATTCAACAATATTTTTTCTTATATGACAAAAATGTTAGCGTAGTTTCAATAGGCATTTATTTTTTTATTAAACATACGGTATTACACAAGTTGTAATTAAGCTAAATATAATCTTCAGGACTTCATCCCTTGGACTGAATCTCTTGCACATCATGAATGCAAAATTGTTATGGTCTCATTTAAAAATTATTTACAAGTTTAAAAAAAGTCTTTTCAAACTGATGTCTTTAAATCGTCGTTATATCCCTTGGGGAGGATTTTCAAACATCTGAAAGAAATTGTTTCTGGAGGATTGTTAGTTCAAGAATTTGAATATTTATAGTGGAAAGTTTCCCAAACATTGAACTTGAGAAACTTCCACATGTGGACATGCATGCCCTATTTATTCATTGATATAGAGAAAAACGCACAAGACCACAATTTTTGGCTTTTATTATTTTTCACTAAAACGTTTACCTATTTACATATGGTGTATAATTGCTACAAGCATACCGAATTAAAACACCGAACCAAATTTTAACGACCACTTGTAATTAAGATGCCTAATTTCAAAGTATAAAGTATATAATTAAGTTATAATTATAATGTTTAATCGTATACAATTGCTCATGCATGTAATTAATTAGAAAGTATAAGTATGCTATCAACTCATTAAATACACATGTATTATTTTACATTCAAGTGAAAATAGGACTAAATTATTCATATCAACTATAGGTAATGTGATATGCTCTATTTTCGAGCTAAATAATTTCTGTGCATGTAATCTTGTTCAATTGAAATGTAAAATTTGACAAATATGATGTCAAATTTTTAATTCCATGTTGCATGCGATTATATAAGCTCTTTTTTCGAGCAAAATTTATGTATAATGCGAGGTTTGGTTTTAATACAAAAAATAATGAACCAATCTTTAAGTTTGTGTGCAAGGTAATGTTATTTTAAGTCATATTGCCTTGTTGGATTTTAAGTTGTATGAAAAGAAAATTTGACAAATATGATGTCAAATTTTTAAATCATTTGCATGCGATTATACGAGCTCTTTTTTCGAGCTTAAATAATTTTCTGTGCATGTAATCTTTTTTAGTTGAAATGGAAAATTTGACAAATATGATGTCAAATTTTTAAATGCATGCGATTATATAAGCTCTGTCTTCGAGCAAAATGTATGTATAATGCGACTTATGCGAGGTTTGTTTTTTATACAAAAAAGAATATATATTTAAGTTTGTATGTACGGCAATGTCATTCTACGTCATGTTGGGTTTTAAATTGTATGAAAAGAAAATTCGACAAATATGATGTCAAATTTTTAAATCAGCATGCTGCACGTGTCTATGAGTTTTTTGAGCCAATAAATAAGCTAGTATGCATGATAATGTTATTTCATGCACGTCATATTTGATTTAATTTGTTTGAAAAGGAAAATTCGACAAATATGATGTCAAATTCCTAAATCAGCATGCTGCACGTGTCTGTAAGTTTTTTTTGAGCCAATAAATAAGCTTGTATGCATGATAATGTTATTTCACGTCATATTTGATTTAATTTGTTTGAAAAGGAAAATTCGACAAATATATGATGTCAAATTTTGAAATGTTACAGCATGTGCTCTTTTATGAGGAAAATACATTTGGTAAACTTTTGGCTAAGTACGTATACATGCATATATAGATATATAGATTATAATTCTACATACACATAAAAATATCTATAGTGTGTATACACATATTCCTGTGATATATTTTTCAATATTACATAGTTAGTATGGATAAGAACTGGAAGCCCCCCCCCCCCCCCCCCCCATGTCTACATGCGTGCATAAATATAATACGTCTGCATGTTTACAAATATGATGCAAATACATAGCAGGGTATTCTTAAATTAATTTAACGTAATTTGCATAATCGGCAACTTAATTAGTAGGCCCTACGCATGCAATATATATACTTTATTCGCACAAAAATACAAGACAACAGATTTTTGAGCTTTTATTTATTCAACAACATTTATCTATTACATTCCTCATTTTCAGATCTCGATCTTCATGTATGTGCGCGCAATAATTTCGCAGTAGAACACGAAATTCGCAATTTTATATGTCCTAGTTAGTGTATATATCCTAACCTAATTGCATATATCCGCAGGGCACCCCCATTTATTCAAATTAAGCTAATATTTTAATTTTGTTTTGCATTGATTTATATTATTATTGTCCGCATACGTGCATAAATATATACGTCTGCATGTATGTTTGCAAATATGATGCAAATACATAGCAGAGTGATCCTCAGCCTAATTTGCATAATCGGCGACTAATTAGTACGCATGCAATATATATACTTTATTCCGACAAAAATACAAGACAACAGATTTTTGAGCTTTTATTTATTCAACAACATTTATCTATTACATTTTGAAAGATATCCATAGTTTTCCTCATTTTCAGATCTTGATCTTCATGTATGTGCGCGCAACAATTTCGTAGAAGAGCACGAAATTCGCAATTTAATATGTATTAATGTATATATTCCAACCTAATTGTATATATCCGCAGGGCAGCCCCCATTTATTTATTAAAATTAAGCTAATATTTTAATTTTGTTTTACATTGATTTATGTTATTATTGTCCGCATAAGTGCATAAATATGTACGTCTACATGTATGTTTGCAAATATGATGCAAATACATAAGCAGAGTATCCTTAGCCTAATTTGCATAATCAGCGACTTAATTAGTACGCATGCAATATATATACTTTATTCCGACAAAAATACTAGACAACAGATTTTTGAACTTTTATTTATTCAACAACATTTATCTATTACATTTTGAAAGATATCCATAGTTTTCCTCATTTTCAGATCTTGATCTTCATGTATATACGCGCAACAATTTCGCAGTAGAACACGAAATTCGCAATTATATATGTCCTAGTGCATATATCCCAACCTAATTGACAATTATATATATCCGCAGGGCACCCCTATTTATTCAAATTAGCCTAATATTTTAATTTTGTTTTGCATTGATTTATGTTATTATTATCCGCATACGTGCATAAATATATACGTCTGCATGTATGTTTGCAAATATGATGCAAATACATAGCAGAGTATGTTTTATATATTTCATTGATTTATATTATTATGATCGAAAGTCCGGATGTCCGCTAACCGATGTCCGCAGGGCGTCCCCCAATAAATTTATTGCATGCATTACAGTACGAATATTTACACACATGGCCGAAACATGAAAATGTTGCCCCGAAATTTTAGTGTGTGTAATACGCTAACCTGAGACGTCTTCTTTCTTGTGATCGATGCTGAGGCAATACGTCACTATAGTATTTATCACTTTAAAGGATACGCTGGGATATTACCTCAGTGGCGTCGGTTCATCTGTAGGGCGTCGGTTCATCTGTAGGGCGTCGGTTGCGTCGTACGTCTTAGCTGTAGTCTTTTGTTCAGGTACACAAATCCAATAAAATCCGAGGCGATCTTGTGGTGGTCCTGCAGGATGTCTCGTAAATTGTATCGACTCCCATGTGGCGATGGAGTCGACGTTTTGATTTTCACAGTCGAGGTAAGGCAGCTGCTTATTTTATAGTTCTGTTCATGTTGCATGCCTGCCTTTCTTCCTTCCTCACGTGCATCAGTGATGTCTCTGCGGCGGCTGTCCGTTCTACAAAGGCGTTTTCCGATCCGGTCCAATACGATGTAAACGTAATAATCCACTTGATGCAACATTTAACATTGGGTTTGCTGGCGATCTGAAAGATTTGGAAAAGAAAAATAAATACACCATTATGATCTCCTAAACCCTGGCAGTAGGCGCAGTAGAATTCTCGAATTTGTTAATTTCGAGTGCACAGAAGACAATGACACGAGGTGGTGCCTTATGATATTAGCAGAGTAACAGAATATACTGAAGAGTGAATTGATGAAACGTAACAAGATAAATAATACAATACCTATACGTCTGCTCCAGAGAAGCCATTAAGAAAGCAACGTTGCTTTTGAAGTGCATGGAGTTGGCCCATATTCCAGTTGCAATTTAACAATTTGAACCCAGTCATCTGATGTTCACGACAAATTGTTTGGGCGGGCACTTTAGCGTTATAGGGGCATTTCAGATAGATAAAATTCGCCTCCTCCTCCGCTGTCCGATTCTGCTTGGCTGTGATACAAATAAGAAGCCTGATGTCAAACACGTCTCAAGCATTGGTCAGCATCTTTTTCCAAAATAACGTAGCATTGGGTTGATTTGTAATCATTTTCAACCTGAAAATAGATATAGAAAGAAAATTAATGATCATATATAGTTAAAAATCATTGATGTTAAGTGCCATGCATTTTAGTATAGCCGAAAAATACAATGGGTAATTCCAGCTATGCATCGCCTAAATTTTGAGCTGGACAAGATCAGAAGAACGAAATCATTACCATGGCTGGAAAGAGCATCTTCATTGAAGATGAATTCTTCATAGGAGTAAAATTGTTGTAAAATGAGGAAAATATAGCCTGTGAAGTTCGCAAATTGTGCATATATAATATATTGCTTCAAAAATGTAAAAAATTTTCTGCGGGAGGACACCCACTTTTGGCTATTCCTCAATGAAACTTTTAAAACCGATAAAACAGGCAGGAAATCTCAAGTTAACTCTTTAGTGATTTATCTCGGCAACAAATCCGAAATAAAAAATAATTTTAAACGATAAATAAGAGCCAAACTTACCCCACGTGGAAACGCGCTTCCCACTTATCCACTAGTAATTCAACGTTCAGACGAAATTTTCAGAGCCAATTTCTACCTAAAATTCGAAAATATATTAGTTAAGAGTGCTAACAAACAAGTTTTAACCAAATTGAGTTAGAATACACCTGAAATTCAAAGGCAAAGGCAACCAAAAGCGGTTAGAACCGGTTCGGTCAAGCTCGTACCTGGAAGCTTCGTTGAAGCCGTGAAGAAAACAACTTCACTTTGCTTTCTTTAGGCAGAGAAATTCGGCTTCTGTCCTGGATTCGTTCATGTTACTTGTTAGTCTGGATAACTTTGAATGTTGATAATAAGGATTAGTTGGTGATCATCTTCATTCTAAAATGGATTTAAAATAAGAATTAGCGACTTGTTTAAATGCTCAACAGGCAACATGCACAATGAACGACTAACATGGCCTCAAAAATTGAAGTGTTGCATGCATTGACAGTGGATATTTTGAGTTTATACTACAGTAAAAGCCTTGTGTCAGACAACTTCGAGCATCTAAAAATCATTGCAAATGAAATTCGAGCAGTTTAGAGACCATTTATACAAACTTATTCGTAGTTCTAAAACAGCGAATAAATTAAACATGCGACTGTTCGACACAACCGACGCACAAATACCAATGCCCTTTTCGGCTATTTCTTAGCAAAACTTTCAAAATTTTAAACAAAATTAACACAAACACATGCAGAAAGTCTCAAGAACACTTTCTAGCGATGTATTTCAGCCACAAATCCGAAATAAAAGAATTTAAACGACATATAACATCATTACCAAGACAGTGAACTTACCCACGTGCTTTAAGCTTGTGCACCCGCTTCTCGTTCAGTTCAATGTTCAGACGAGGTTTTCGGAGCCAATTTCTACCTAAAGTAAGACACAATCCAACGGTGAGTGAATTAAGAGTGTTAACGAACGAAGTTCGAACAGAGTTTAGTAAAAATGCACCTGAAATTCAAAGGCAAAAGCGACTAAAATCGGTTCGAACCGGTTCGGTCAAGTTCGCCATATTAAATTTTTGTGTCGCTTTAAAGCTCGCTTATAAATACAGAATAACAAGATAAATACAATACCTGATAGCTTCGTAGAAGCCACGAGGAAAACAACTTTACTTTGCTTTCGAAGTAGAGAAAATTTGGCTCGTGTTCTCGTCGTAATTTAGCAGTTGAATCACACTCGTCTTGAAGTCCAGGCAAAGTGTTTGGGCGGAATTACGCTGGGGCAGGTTGGGGCATTCGACAAAACCAGAAAATTTGAATTTGCCTCGCACGTGAGTACCAAATCTAGCACTCCTATTGGTTGAACGAATTTGTGAGTTCTGATTGGTTGAGATGCAAATACCAAGATGTTGATTGGCTGGAATCGGTCACGTTAGATTGGTCTGAATTCCCTTGGGAATTAAAATTGTTGCACACAATAAAATAATTATGCTAATTTGTGTAACAAAAAATCAAATATTTTAATAGGCTTTTGCATTAATGCTAAAATAAAGTCTTTTTCAAACGATCCAACAACTTTCAAATATTGTTTATAATGTATTTTAAAACACAGGCTTCAAATTTTTGACAAATCTTCTGATTTTAACTGAAAGGTTTCAAAAATATAAGCGGTTGAACAAAAAATTTCAACAACATATTTCAATGAATCATGATTGGATGACATTATTATATTGTTATGCACAGACAGATCAAGAAAACATGGTTAACATGCTAAACCGTAAATGGTTTTATTGGGGGGAGAGGGTTAGAGGGGTTTCACATCCCCTGAAAATATGCATCAACCTGGGTACATTGTAAATTTCATGACGATCGGTATTATTTCACACAATTTGTGGGGTTATGGAGGGGTACACCCCGAAAACATTTAACCTTTAATAAATGAGCCTACTGTAGATCTGCCATAATAATCTCAACGATACATAACCCAAAGCAAACACTGAAAACAACATTAAGTTTGGATGAACTTTGTTAGAACAAATTCAAATCGATTTCATCTTTATGACCAGCTATCTACTGTGTACTAAAGAACAGAATATTAAGTCTGTCTTGCGCGCGGCTATTTCTTACAAAATCAACGTACAATAGCAGGGACATGCATACTATGGTCCAACCCATAATCTTTTGCTCAGGAAAATAGTGCTCATTTAAGGATACCCACATTGAAGTAGATGTGGTTTTGTGTTTTTACTAGTTATCAGAATGAGAAATAGGCAATTCCAGCTAGACTAAATTTTGATGTAGGCAAATTACGCACGGGAAAATGCACCACTTTCGGCGCAAAAGCGGTGAATTTTCTCGCGCGTAATACAAATTAATACAAAATTTGCAAATTTCGCAGGGCTATATTTTCCTCATTTTGCAACATTTCGCGGCCAAACTTTGCAATTTTACTAATTTTAACATGCTCTTTCTAGCTGTGGTGATGGATTTTGTTCTTCTTGAGATCAAAATTTAGTCTATAGCTGGGGAATCATCTATTCTATTAGATTTGCCATCAAATACAAGACTACTGCATATAGTAAAAAGAATGAACATAATTTTCTCACTCTGATAACTGCACGATGGTGCTTAGCGAAATCCATGTATATAGAGCGTTTGCACTCATTTCCCAGGGACCAACTCAACAAAAGCCATGGCGGCCATGTTGGTGTTCCAGACAAAAGAATCTAATTAAAATTCTTTTGAATTGGAACACCAATAAGGAGGCTGTGACGTCATGTGCAAACGCTCTATTCGGGAAGCTTTCGCGATAAGATATCTTTAAACAGAGTACAGTTTGATCACAGTGTATGTATGAAGTGTATACCTCTTTCATGCAAATACTAATCAAAGCATAGACGCTTGTTCGCACTAAGAAGTTTTTGTGATCAGTTGTGTTACCGAACCTTCAAGGAAAATAATTTTTAAAAGAGGTTTACCTTTCATTGCAAATACTTTTATCGAAGCATATTTTCATCAAAGAACCTTCGATAGTTTCAAACAGACTTTGAACAGAACTAGGTCAAACAAGAATGAGATTTTGCATGACAATTTTCTTAACACAGGTGCCACACGAAACCAAAAGTTGCAATTCTTATGAACTCTCATCCTCGTTTGACCGGAATTACGATTTTGGTACAATACCAATATATCTATGAAAAGTGAGTAAAAAGTTATTTGATACGTAATAGTATGTACGCCCCTGCACATAAATCGTCCATTGTTTAAACATTTCATTGTTATTTATATGACAATTGAGCTCTGATCTGATGGAATATCTGATGGAGAATCAAGTGCCATTGCTATATGGTAGATCAGAGTACATTATGAGACCCCACCAGGCTTTGTATGCATCACAATTGTGGAAAGTCGTTGATCTCGGCCTGGTCGGATACTGGTGAACCATTCACTACGTAATTCACTTTAATTCTCATTCGTAAAGGCGCCTTAAAATGAAGAAGAAAAAATAGAGATTAGTAAATAGACAGACACAACCTCGTGCCCAGTTTTCTCATTAGTAAAGGTGCCTTAAAATGGTGAAAAATAAGGATTAGTGGATAGATAGACATAATGCCGTGCTCTATTTCTACAGTCCTGCGGAAAGAAACAAACAAAACTTTACCTTTTGTGGGTTAGCGACCTTGACAAGTTGTGTAATTTGGCCAGAATTATTGGGAGGGATTATATTACCAGAGGGACTTTGTAGTTGAAGCTGCAACGTCTAAAAAACGTTATAAAGGCATTTTTAACAGTTCTGTAAATTATAAAACCTTATCTTCATTATACTATAAAACTTTATCTGTTCTAAACTGTTCCCCTAGAGGTCCAGGAAAGCCCATCGTTTATTGCAGGAGGAAACATAAACGATTTTGTTTATCATGAATAGCTCTAATGCACTATCAGTTCTCAAATTTGTTCTCCCTAGAGGTCCAGCAAGAGAAATCCCTCATTGCACATGCAATGTTTGGTAGAGTCAAACTGGAAGCACTCTTCTTACATGCAAACGAGGTAAGAGTATAATCCAAAACATATTTCCAGGAATTCGTCCCAAGATATCAATATGCCCTACCTTGGGTACTGCAGCTTGAAAAACAAAGTCAGTTACTGGAACGGCCAACGCGTTTGAAACAATTAATGCAATATCTAAAATATTTGCCGGATTGTTATCCACTTTTTGAAAGTTGAAGTCGATTTTTACTCCATTTTTATTGTACGCTGTTACAGATGGAATGCCTATATTGAACGAATGCAAATAAATCATGTGTAAGATCTCGCAATAACGGCCAGTCAACGAACCATTGAAAAAAAAAGATTAAAAATAAAGGTATTGGGTTAGGGTGTGTGTTAAATGCTAATCTTCTTTGCTTGCAGGCTTTTTACAATAAATTACATTTCATTTCATTTTAGAATGACCCAAATATTACCCACATAGAAAAATAGTTGTTAGTGGCAATAATGCTGACCCCATACCTACCCACCCATTCTCCCCAACTGACTAAAATATAACTAACCTTGTGGTGGTGGCGGTGCCTGGTGATTGAAAGAAGGTAATAGATCAGTGGTCAGACCTGGAGCAGGTTGTACTGGTACGTCTGAAGCACCATCAAACAGATTGACCATATTATTGGGTGCACTTGGTGCAATTGGATTGAGAGATGGTGGTGGTGCTGAAACATAAGAATGTACATGCTTTGATCAATGAGAAACGACCAGAGTTTATGACCATCATTTGACCATCACCTCTGATTAGGGATGGGCGATACCAGCTTTTTCATTCGATACGATATTTGCTCGATATTTGCCGGGTTTTTTCGATATCGATACCGATATCGATATTTTCCCAACTTGAAATCATTAACAACGGCCACAACGCTAACAATATAAACATTGAA